TAAAGTCTAATTCGTTTCGGTGTCACATATTTAATGACAAACAGAGATACGATATGTATATATATATAAGCAATTAACTTCTTTAAAAAAGTTGAACAAATAATAAAAATAGATTTTCTGACTTAAATTAAGGTATATACATCTAATATGTTTTTAACATTCACTAATTGTAAGAAATTTGTACAATATATAGAGAAGGAATTATAAAACCTGACCGTATTTCGAAGAAAGGGAAAGACTCGGGATCGAAACTCATTTTTTTTTACACGACGAAAAGAACGATTCTGCTTAAATTATTTTCAGATCTGTATCTCTAGCTAAAGTTTCAAATACTTCAGCAAAATCGTTCTTTCCGTGTATCATACCAATCTCACAAACGTATACGGCCGGTCCATCGCATCTAAGAGACTGTTCCCCAGGACGGATCGCACGATGCACTTATTGAAAATTATTCCTCGCGTGCGAGGCTTCGAGTGAGGGGAGGAAGGAGGAGGCAGAGGTAGAGAGAACAAAAGGAAAAACCTGACTCGGTCTTCTCAAAATTGCGACTGCATCAGGAGGCGAACGGCCCGCGTTTGCTCTGACGGGTTAAAACACTTTAGAGGGTAATATCTTCACACTCCGGCCATCCGGTGGCGAAGATTGCCGCAGCCGGGCCTCGGTTGCCGAGCTCCGGAGGAAGTTCTCGTGCCCAGGGGGGAATTTTTACGTAAGCGTACTTAGAAGAGCGCTCTAATTTCAAATTGTTGCTCGCGTGCAACCGGAACGTTAATGAACAGACGGCAGCAGTTGTAATTGCAATGAATTTTTGCATTAACTATCGTTATTTTCGGCAAACTTGAAGAGGCTATAGAAAAGATGTTAAACTGCTTGCACGCAGTTTATCTTGTTAGAAGCATGCTAATTTTCGGTACGAGCGAACGTCGGAACGATTTACTGTAGCACTGTAATCGGTTTAAAATGCGAAAAAATCGCTACGTTCAGTTTAAGAGCGAGACGCTATTTCGAAAGAATTTGATACTCGTTCAAATTCAATTTCGCATTTAATTTCTAACTATACAATAATGTTGTTTGCACTTTGCTGCGCGCATTTCATCATAGATCGAGCTACGATGAAAAGGCGCATATAGTCCGGCGGAACTCTCGCGTACGTAAATGTCCGGCGTTGATTACCCGAGAATCGCGAACAAAGTGCGTAATCATACGCACGACTCGTCGACGGGATGAAAAGAGCCGAAACGACGGTGGCGATGACGGCGAGTGGCGGCGGTCAGCGCGAGTGTTTAAAATCGCGGTTCATCCAATTTCATCGTCGACTGTTAATGCGGAGCAGCGACGGCCGGCAAGGGTGGACACGGTAAGCGGGGCTAGAGCGTTCTGCATGCCCCGTGGACCGTATCAAGACAAAAAGATTCGTTCGTTGCCTTTAGGCACAACCGGCGGGACCGCGGCGGCGCGCGGTAGTTTTACGCTCGTGAATTTTCCGCCTTAATTAACGAGGTTTCTGTAACGAGCAGCAGAGCGGCGGCTGACCCCGGGCCGGCCGCTCGCGTTTATCGCTTTGGATTTTCTCGTGGTCGTGGTCAGTTCAAAGCGGCCGTTATTACGCTGACTCGTCGTGCGTAAGCGACTTCTCAAGCTTCGGCGATACTTCCCTTTCTCTCTGTGAGCGAAGTAACGCGGTAAAACGGAACGGTCGAGATGTTAATTACGATTACGAACTCGAGATAGGGAACGCGCTCGCGAGCGAGCGAGCGAGCGAGCGAGCCGGCGGCGCGGTTTGCGACCCGGCGGACCTAATCGATGGAAATTTTACAGCCCGCCGCTCGTATCATTAATATCGATGATGTAGCTGGACGTGTCTAATAACTAATCGCGTCGGTACCTTACGTGTGGTGGCTCGAGTCCCTGGCTCGCCGTGTCGTGGGCGATTACGTTTCGTGTTTATGTGCAGCTATAAAATGTTGAAAACTGAGAGTATGCATTGCAGGTAGAGAGAAAGAGAGAAAGAGGGGGCGAGAGGATTCACTTAGAATTAATTATTAATGCCACCAGATATATTGTAGGAACTTGCAGGTTTTGAGAGGGAGAGAGAGAGAGAGAGAGAGAGAGAGAGAGAGAGAATTTAATTTCGCAGAATAAGCTTCTGTCAATTCCTTTCCGTTCCTCCCCGTCCGTTTCTTCTCTTCTGCGGATCGTTAAGACGCAGAAAATTTGTTGCAAGCAGTGAATTTCTAGAGAAGACGTAATTTTACCCTTCTCGAGTCGGGATCTATGGGGACTCCGGCGAAAGAGAGGCGAGCCTTAGGCGTTTTGTCTCTGAGGAAGGCCATCGGCATATGCAGCTCGCGTGCATCGGCGCGACCATAGGATCCGAGTAACAGGTGCAGATGCGGCGGAGGAAGCCCGATCGTTAGTCCGACAGCCCGCGGTGCATGTGTGCCTATTATGATTTCTTTCGTAATTAGTCTCTCTCTTTTTCTCTCTCTTCCTCTCCCGTTTCCTTCTCGCATCCCGTACGTGGTATTCGGGCGTACCTAACATTTGTTTCGTTGCATGTTTCGTGGCTCGATCCGTGACATGTGTTATACCGCATCGCCTTATAGCTGTCGATGGCTCCCTTCGACTTGGCGAGGGGACAACGACGACGGTTAACGCGTATCAATTTCTGTATCAATTATCTGTATATCAATTTAAATGTGAGTATATCTCGCGTAAAATGTTTGATTTGAAAAATTCAATAAACGACACATCAGCTTCTTAATTATCTTGTTATTACGTTGAGGTCTTAAAGCTCGTAGATCTTTCGAGTCTAAATGTCTCATGTTCCGATCATCTTACAGCTGCACTAAATTCGATTTATCTTGAGCTAAGGTTTGCATCTTCGATTTAACGAGGCAAGCTTATCCCCCCCGCGAGATTCTGACCGATCGATCGAGGATGTGTACGAAACGCGAGGTATTCCGAGATGGACCGGGGTGGTCCTTGGTCCTGTCTACGCGTACGTATATATATGTATATATATACACATATCACGTCATGTATATATACATATGTATATATACATATATGGCGTGATACGCGTACATATGTACATATGAAGTCAAATGTACGCGTATACAGTGGAGAAAGCGTCTTGGCAAGGGATTTTGCAGAGGGTTGGCTGTTTGCGCCTCTCGACAAATAAGGGGAAGTCGTTATCCCGTGGATGGGAGGAGTAATTAACTGCTTCTACCTCCTTTCTGTCCGCTCCACCTCGCCCTGCCTTCCTCCCTCAGCATCCTCCCTTTCCAGCTTCGGCTTCTACTCGAAGGAACAGACTTAAGGAGACCCGCTTAGGCTTTCACGGGGTCGTGTCTTCATTATTCACGCTAATCTGCTCTCGCCCCGTGCTGCTGCCACCGCGAACCCTCCTGAGGTGCTTCCTTTCTCTGTCTCTCTCTCTCTCTCTCTCTCTCTCTCTCTCTCTCTTTCTCACTTGCTTCTCTCTATTCGCGGAAATTATATTATATTATTATCGTGCGGCACAACCGTGAAGCAAACGATGCGTACTGCGTGATGATACAGTGTTCAGTACATCTTTGAGAATCGGAAAGGTGCGATTAATTTTTAGATCAATATCACACGAAGCTACCATACATTAGATTTTTTTCCTGTAACTTCAATGTCCAACACAAACAAAAATTTACAAATTATATATGTATTATATAGCATATTATATATAGCATTATATATGAAAAAAAATTAGATAAAATTCAATCACATTATATACGGACATAATAAATTAATAATAAAAAATATTATTTTTGGTTCGTAAAAAAAGTTAAAAAAAAAATAAACGTCGAAATATTCTACAATATCCGGTGTTAAAAAAAAAAACAAATTAATTCGCTAATTATTACGCCCCCCTCGTAAGACACGCAATAAATCTGCCAAGACATTAATAACCGGTAACCGAAACACATGTAGGTGCAACCGACATCGTCGTGTATATTTTACGTTTTTACAGTGGACCACCATGGTAAAGGCGCCCCGCGACGATCACCAAATTATGATGGATTGTTTTCTCTATTAACAGCTTGTGCCGACAGAGGCGAGATGCGAGCACCCCGACTGAGATAATCTTCCACCAATTTCGACTTCCTGATTGATCATTGCGATTCATCGGGCGGTTCGCTCGAACGGATCGTCCGGAACGAACAGGTCAGATCACCTACCGATCCGAGATCTTTCGTTATCGCGAATTTAAAAAGTACATGTCGACACTTCTGAGTTTGAAATTAGATTCGTAACTCGATTTTTTGTTTCATCAGATATAAAAAAAAAAACCGAATAAAGGAATATCAAAGTAACAATTATTCATAAAACGATGTACATACACACGATGTATGTATGTACACAGATTTCATCATCCCATATTACATATTTTATGTTTTGTAGGCAGTATACATTTAACTACGCTTAAATCATGGGATAATCAAATTTAATTTGATTGGCTTGTTATTAAATAATTATCCCTTGGTACACACAATTAAATTATTCGTGTTCCTTTAGTACCCACAATTGAGTCATTTGGCTGTACTTAATTATAATGTTTATATACAAATTTTTTTAATACACAATCTTACAAATACTTTCTAAAGATGTTAAAGTATATGTAAGAATTACTTGATAATTTTTGTATGTAAAAATGATGAAAATTAATCCAGATACTACTTCTGTGTGTAGTAAAGAACCAGAAAATCGTGTGTAAGGGTGAAATGGCAATTTGAGACAGATACGAGCTTAGGGCACGAATATATGTGCGAAATACGATTTTTCTTTTTCCTTTCAATTGTACTTTATCCAAAAAATTAGTCGTTATATAAATTAATTATTTTATGAAAGACTATTTTAAGTATGGAATATATCCATTTAGTTTAATGGATGGATATCTCTTCCAATTTTCTAAATGTTCTCCAATTTGTAGATATTAAAAGATTAATATTAAGTAATAATTATTTAGTATTGGAGTCCAAATATATTTAGCTATGAAACGAGACATATGCATAAAAATAACGAAGAGCCATCTACGTTATTTTACGCATATGTCTCTACAGCTTTGGTCAACAATTGATGTTTCCTTACAATTATAGGGACGCACATATCTTCCCTCATGATGAATTGTTTTTTTTTAGCAATTAAAAGATATAAGGACGTAATATATTTATAAAATAGCGCATATTCACAAATCAAATGAATGTTACAAAATACTATATATTCCTGTTAAGCAACTTTCAGGGAAGTTTCATCATATAGACTATATTCATTTTTACATCCTGTTTCTCTCTTTCTCTCTCTATTACAGCAACAAACTTCTCATGATATAAATGCACAATTCATGTAGAAACATGTAACAATTCATTGATTTTACTGCGGTAAATTAAGCAACACATTCAAACCTGATGGTAAATATGCCACTTGACGAGACTTAGATAAATTGTATGCGATATCTTCCGCGGCTTCGATCTTTCTGAGCTCGACCAAACCATCTCCCGCCTCGGCTAGAGACTTCGCCAGTAAACTCGCGGCCTGAGCATCACCCTCGGCACTAATAACAGACGCCTTCTTCTGCTGTTCAGCCTTTTCTACCAAGAAACGGGCCTTCTCCGCGTCCTGTTGCGCCACTTGTTTCAATTCTACCGCCTGGGTAAACTCTTTACCAAATGTTAAATGTGTCTGAAAGAATTTTGAGAGAGATAATGATAATCTATGCGTTGACTATAAAAATATCAGATATCTACCTTGTGATAATACAACGTATCTATAATCAATAAATGTATAATTGTACTTACAAGGGAAATATCATCCAAAATAAGTCCAAACTGCGCAGCTCTCTCTGTTAAATCTTCGCTGACCTTTTGAGATACGATTTCTCTTTGCGTAATTAATTCACCAGCGTCAAATTGTGCGACAACAGCTTTCAGCACTTCAGTGGTAATAGAAGGTAGTACTCTTTCGTCATAGTCGACGCCGAGTATCGTGTATATCTTAGGCAGCGAATCTGGCACAGGCCTGAAGAGGATACGAAGAGTGATATTTACATTCTGCAGATCCTTACTTCCGGTAATGACGGGGACATTTCTCGGACGTGAACGAATATCAAAAATAATTGGTTTTTGCACCCAAGGAATGAAGAAGTGTGTCCCTTCTCCCATCACGGCGTTTTTTATACCCGCAAATCTGTCGAATATAACTGCTCTGTGACCACCGTCAACTAAAAAGAAAAGAAAAAGAAAATATTAATTCATCTTACTTTAAGAAGATAATGTTGCTGATTATCAAATAGGAATATAGGAGATACCATACCATTGTACAAAGCAGAATTAACAATACCGCCGGCCAGTACCATGCCCACGCCGAGCTGACCAACTCGATTGAAAAACTGTGCTGCCATGGTTAAATGTATACTACCTACAAAACATAATATATTATTACGCAATATGAGATGATGAAATCTGATACATTATCGTAGTTAGCTCCTAGCAATCATGATACTGTTCTAACCTAAAATTCTGAGAAAAATATATTTGGAGTACGCGTATCTCTAACCTGAAAAAAAAGAGAGCGGAACGATAATAACTAATGTATTATAGATTTTTCAATTATAACTACAGTTTGTCATCATATGTTATCTTATATTTCATAAATGAAGCGGCAATGAAAAGTGATCTTGACCGGTGAAACAAAATACTTTTTTTCGCCGATCTAATATCAATGTTCATCTCTTTATATCATCACGAACGTGTAATTAAATTAAAATTAATAATAATCGCTAGTGCTTATACTAAAATAATTGATTCTTACGTAATAAATCGTGACTTTAGGGTTGGAATATTCAGTTTTCTCCTCGCTTGCGTGGAGTTGATAAAAGGAAAATGGTGACCGTGATTTGGGAAGCTGCGCGAGCGCCACAATCTTCCGACGATGGCATTCGTAACTTCACGCGGCAATTTCAAATACTAATTGCATGAACATATCTGCAAAAATAATTTGTAAACACAAATAATTGCTTATATTACGATAAGCGGGCGTATCATATTTTTCTGCGACTGCGATTACTGTCTCATAAATTATATACACAATCGAATCGCTGGAACTTGCAAAACTTCGATTAAAGTCATTTGATTGCCAATTTTAAATACATGTTACCCGAGATAAGATTTTTCGTTATTTCATCATTATCTCGGTTTTACAAGCAAGGTTATCGCTCAGAATATCGTGAGAGAACAATATTGTTAATGTTGTCATAAAAGAAAAAAAAACGCCCCCGGGTGGGCTCGAACCACCAACCTTTCGGTTAACAGCCGAACGCGCTAGCCGATTGCGCCACGGAGGCAACTTCGGTATGGTTATTTTCTTTTGGTATATCAAATTAAGTAAGAGACCTTTATTTTTTAATATTTTATAATTATTAACACCAATAATATTCATTATTTCTCTAGATATCTGATAATAAAACATTTCCAATATGTAAAATATATTAGTAAGTAAAATTTTTTAAGTTTTAATTGATATTGACACTTGAAGTTGTATTGAGATGTATAAAAAAATACATTAAAAAAAATTATTACCAATGGCAGTTTCTCTTTTTTAAAAATAAAAAACGTGATAACAGTAATTTGAGATAAAACTCTGTTTCTAAAATTCTTAATTCAAATTTATATTAAAAACTCCTAATAACTGCAGAGGGATAATTTAATTAACAAAGATAATTGGAAAATAAAGATTTATTGTGTGTTATTTCTCTTTGCTTTTCCTACGCTACCATCTGTGCTGTATTTTGTTATTGAACAAAAATTGTGCTTTAAACCTATGATTATTTAAAACGGTACTCAGTACCGGGAATTTACCTTTGATAAGAGAAAGATTGTGTTTTACATGAATTGAAGTTACATTATATTATATAATTAAAGATTCACAACGGTGTAAATCTTGGGAAGTTTCTCTTTATGCATGCCATCCATGTGTCCGCACACGCCGGTCACGTGACCTTGCAGAGTGGTGTCCAACATCATGGTCACGCTGCTGGGGGTCCACATTAACATCACCGGCACGCGTTGCGATTGGACCACAAGGTGCTCGTTGTTCTCGGTGAGTCTGCAAGCGAAAAATTTTTTTTTAATACAATCGACTTTTCTCTCTTGAATTCTGCGTTCGATCGAATTTAATCGTCACACTTACTTGAATGCATAAGACTTCGGTTCATCTTTCGGCACTACGACTCCCTTCTCGTGCTGATTGACTACGCTACCGTCTACGGTGACGACGGCATTGACCTCGTTCGGTACGATCTCCATCTCGTGATCGGCAATGTACATCTTCACGGCCAGCTTGGTACCCTGCATGGATTTCACGAAGATGGCATACGTCCGGTCGACGTGATCGCCGGACACAAGGGTCCATTTATCGAACACCACGAATGGAATCACGCCCTCGTCCAAGGTGACCAATGCTTGCGGGTAGATGGTGCAGATCTCTGCGAGAGAAAGATGTTCCATGAAACTGCACGAATTCCGCTTGAATTTTTTTCACGATGAACAAACCATTTATAAACGAGGAGTTACGTCATTTAAGTCACTTTGTTGTAAACTAAAAATTTTTGGATTTTCACTCTGATATTTACATAGAAAAAAAAATTATTCGAGACTTACTAGCTTGGCCCTGCGTCACTTTGTGCACAGCACCTACGGAGAAACGAGTATTGTCCATGACGGAGTGCCATTGTGGATGCGTGTGCATTGATTTATTCACAGCCAAGCCCTCGAAGAGATGTCGATGCAAGGGAACTTGGACGTACTCGTATCCGCTGACCGGAGTGACGACGGTCGCATTGACGTGACTCAGATCGGAGGAGTATTCGACGACGATCTTAGCGTTACCGCTTTCAGCACGGTCCACGATGTACCTCACGTGTGACAAATGCATCGCGCGAATGTAATCTTCAATCATGGCGAGATGCGAGAGTACTTGTACAGGCACCTGAAAGAATCGTACTTCTTTGATTACATCAATATTGGTAATTTCTCAATCTTCCTGTTATTTTCTATAATATTTACAAGTGTATAAAAAATTATTTTTATGTCTAACAATGGAACCTAAACAACGGAATGATCAAAAATTCATAAAACATATTTAAGTGACATTTAAAAATTAAAGAGCTAGTTATAAACGTACTTAAAATACTTTTAAATATTTTTTATGTATCATTACGAATTTATTATTTCAAAATTACCTATATAAAAAATTTTATTAGAACAAAATTATGTTACGAGTAATGTGTTTATCCTTTCTTACTTTCTTGTATGTTGCGTTAATGGTGTATCTCTTCATGGTCGTGTAGTGTATGGTCTCACGGAGGCAATTCATGGTCTTGGCAATGTGGCCTTGCCTGGTCTGAAATTGTGGGTTTTGGGTGTCTTTGACGCAAGCGCTATGCATATTGTCGTGCGTCATTTGCCTCTTCTGTTCTTCCGTCATCTCACCCTTGAGAGTCATCACAATCATCATATCATCACGGACACATTTATCGTCGTCCGTAAAGCCTGCTGTGACGGTAATCTTGTTGTTGGTCTCCTCTTTAGTGGTGTCGATTTTCAAGGGATCCGTATCGACGACTGGGTAATTCTTCTGTGCGTCTACGCAGATCTAAAAGTAGAAAAAAAAGCGAAAAACTCATTCACAATCGACAATATTACTTCATTAAGCTTTTCATTTATTTGGTAGGTAATCTGAATCAATCTGTTTTTTATAATTAAGATAATTAAGTTGGACGTACCTTCCAATTCTTTTCTCCCGGAGTCTCTCTCGTCATCTGAACTTTGAAATTGTTGACCACGTGTCCCGGAGACATGTCAATGTTCACATTCACGTCCCACGAGCGGATCGATTCGTTTGTGGAAGCTGCTTTGGCGTCGAGAGTACCGCGTACGTTGATCTTGTTGCTGCTAAGAGCGTGCATCTTTTCATGAATGTGATCGACATCCTCCACGTTGACTCTTACGTTCAAATCGACCTGAAAAAAAAAAAGAGAAAGAGGGAGTGAATGAAAAACGCCGAAATCACTTCTTTCTCTTATAGCGCCATTTTTACTGCTTACATGCGACGTAGGATGAACGATGCTAGGTTCCATCTTCATCATCATTCCACAGTTACCCATTTTCGGTGACATAAACTCGTTGATTAATTTCTGACGGATGCCAAAGTAGTATTGAAGCAACCTCGAGTTCCTAATAAACAAATTGCAACAATTTCTCTTACTTAAAATAAAGAATAATTTTTTTTTACTTAAGAAGTTACTTCGACAATCAAATTTTAGATTTAATTTTAAATTGTGTGGTTTTTTTTTCGTAATACAAAAGAAAAATTGTCGCTATTAGCAGCAACAGGCAAATTATTGCATTAAAATTATTGCACTCCAGCTTATTACTCACCAAGTGTTCTTATGTTCCGCGGAGAGTGCACGATGCCATTCCTCGGCGTTAGTCATCGGGGTGATCTCATTCTCGCAGTCGAAGATCGACATGCTATATTTAAGGCCCATGTCCTTGGAATCTACGGCGTCGTGATGATTCTTTCTCTCGCCGGTGGTGACAACCGTGTGATGATGGCAGGGAGCGCAGCAGGTCTTAAGAATGTCCTGTTCATCCCCGGAGATGGTCACCAGGTTCTTCGCGTAGGATCGTACTCCGGCGATCGACTGTTTGGTGACAGGCAGTCTCGGCATGGTGATTTTGAGACTCTTCGCCTCGTGGTTGTAACCGACGCTCATCTGCACGGGCAGGATGATGTCTTGGGCGAAGGAGCGGCGAATCGAGTGCCAGACGTCGATGATCGGATTGTAAATCGACATGGCGTATTCGCCATGCCTCCAGACGCGAGTGTCGACGTCGAACTTTATGTTCATGGACGGCTTCTTGACGTCGGTACGAAGGTTGTTGAATCTGAGCGACCATAACTGTGGTATCCTGGTACTGAAAACTCCCTGCAGACCCATGTCGGTGGGTACCTGCATCTCGTAATGGGTCTCGTACATGATTTCCTGGAAATTGCCGGCCATCGTTTGCTTCAGTACGTGGTGCGTGTCGTCGAACATATTTCTGAAGGTGTTCTGGTCGTAGTGATTGACAGCGACGACGAGGCCGTTCATCGTGACGCAAATGTCGACGTGAATTGGTTTCCTCATCGGCATGTCCTGCGCGGCGCGAATCAAGACGTTCTGCACGTTCTTGTTGGCGAGATTTTCCACCGTGGTGCCGACTAATTCCTTCTTGACTACCTTCATAATCTCATCCATGCCATAGGCACTCCAATAGACCTGAGAAAAAAAATTTAAATAAATTTCATACATATTATTCGAGCATGTACGTACGTCGTATTTTCTATAGAAATATAGAAATGTAAAAGTTCGATTAATATGCAATATGTTTTTTTTTTATTCTTAGAGATAATCGCATCCCACATTTTTTGTATCAATATTTCAATTATTATAAAGTTTATGCTAAATTAGCATATTACTTACGCCAAATCTGTCGACGGGTTTACGTGCCATCGAGGTGTGATGTTCGACGTATCCAGCGTATGGCATGCCAGTCAATTCATCGAGAATCCAGGCGGTATTCAAGGATTCGCCATATTCGTACATAGGATCAGTAGAATCGACGAAATATTTAGACGAGAGTTGAGTGGTGACCGGTCTGATCCTCGTGAAGCGCAAGACCTTCCTGGCCATTTCGCGAACTGGCGTAAGGCAAGGATCCACGGAATTAGCGAGACCTTTCAGAGTCGTAAGGTGATAATTGTACAGATGATTGTTCCGTTCGCGTATCATGAGCCAGTACATGTTCATGATACGTTCCATGTTTGGCATCTGGCTCATCAAGACGTCATAGGCGACAATCCTGATGGACAGCGGTAGAGTAACATCAGCGAGAATAGGCCAGAGCAAGTTGTGAGTGTACTCGACTTTATCGGCGACTGCCTTTCTGATGGCCCAGATCGCTTCAACGCGAATATGATGTGGGTTCTCGGATACCATTACGTCGCCACGAATGATCGGCTCCAACAGCTTTTCGATGTTACCTACTTGTACGTTCTTCATCGCCATCAGATATACCACTTTCATCTCGTATGATTGCTCGTCTAAAACATTTGCAAAAAAAATTACGTGATTAACGTGTACATGATTAAAAATAAATTATATCATTATTAAATTAAATCAAAGAGTTGAAGTAGAAGTAAAAGTTAGATATCCACGATTGATAAAATTCATTTTAATTATATATATATATTCATAATATTATTGAATTATATATATTGAATATATATTATACATAATATTTAACATTAATATATAATATACATTATATATAATATTATGTATGTTATAATATATATATTATATATAATATATAATATACATTATAATTATGAATTATAATTTAATATATATAATTAAATATATATATATATATATATTCGTTTTTACACATATAAAATTTACTTTTGCTGCGTGCTTTTAGTGTCTAATGCATATAGATACAACACAATACTTACTCATGACATGATCGAGGAAACGGTGAACATATCTCTCGAGAAGAGGATTGACGATGTCGCTCTGTTGATGCATAAACGTCTTGCGAATCAAAATAGAGAAGCAAAGGATGCTGGCCTTTCTGACGTGCGGCGATACAGTGCTACCCAATTTCAACAGGTCTTCCATTTCCAGAAGCAATCTTTCCGATGGTACTTTGACATGCATCGACAATCTCATCAGCATCGTGACGGCAGTATCGTCGGTCACTTTGTGCTTGCGAACGACATTGCGCACGAAGTGGTTGGCAGCGGTCGTGCCCACGGTCGGAATCATTCGCAGGAAGATGTTCCTTTAATTTAAAATCAGTTATTGTTTTTTTTCATCACATCAAGCAAAATTGGATATTAGATTTCTTCAAAGTTAAAACAAATGATTTCTTTTTCCTAACACTAGTTGCTCCAGTGCAGCATAAGATAATAGATGATCCCATTTTATACTCACTTCATCATAACTTCCTTAGGCATCTTCAAATCCTGAATAGCGTTGTAAACTTGCTCAAGTGAACCCAGATCCATGTAGGTCATAATGTGCTGCAGCCTATTGATGGTGTGCCCGTGCTTCCATTCGGGTTCTTTGGCCTCCAAGTGATTTTCTTCAAGATAATCAGCCGCTTCGACCAACATCTTTTTAAGTTTAGGAATGAGCATGTCCAATTTCACAGTATGCCGGCCGTGAGTGAGATCTTCGGCAGCGTGGAGAGCGTAATTTCCCATCGGCTTGTTGAAAGTGACGTCGCGAATCATAGGCACGTTCTGAATGTTCACAGCCAACACAGGAACCTCCGTCATCGGTATCACGGAATGCAGGCTCAAGGTAGTGCTGAAAGTATTAAGTGAAATTAGCATGATCACCAGTCAGCAATTATATGGCGCGATAATTATCGTATATAATTACTTGGTTGAGATGAAGTGAGCCTCAGAATGGCCATTAAAAGGGAAATAATTAATAGCCGAGTGAGCAACCAGACGCTCGATGAGAATATCATTGTTCTGCAGCTGTTTGATCTCAAAGACTCTTCTGGCGGAAGCAGTCATGTCATCCTGAAATAAAAAAAAAGAATACATTAATTACAGTCCAGTTTGGCCAGAATTCAAATGAACGCTCGACAGACGAACGTAGTTCTCGAGACAAAGTAATAGAAATTTACCACAGACTCTACGTGACACCTCTCGCACTCGAAGTTATCGAAGACACGTTGAACGAAATGGCTGCAGTTTTTCAAATCGTGCATTTTCGTGACGACGAAGACATTGGCGTTCTCTGGATTCGTCATCGGGCTTCTCGGGTGAACATCGTAGGCGACGTGACAGGTGCCGTGGATGGTGTTCTAGTGGTAACAACCAAAGAGAACATTTTGAAACAGACCCGCTTTTGCTGGATGTTCCCATCAGTCGTTACCTACCTCATGCGTGACGAAACCGTGCGGCTTCATCGGGGTCTGCATTTGCATGCGAGCCAGATCCAATTGCAGCATCGAGGCGATACCTTGCTTGATGTTCCTGGACCAACCGCTCTCGGTTTCCGGCATCTTGATGCCTTGGAACTGAAATCAAACATTTGAGAAATCAAGTCGAGTCCTTCACGTATACCATTTTTACGTTTCAAATTGTTGCACGTTAGGAATTCAAATATTTACCCTGCCATTTTCGTCATAAACAATCATGAACGGTTCTTGGATTTGCTGTGCGGCATCTCCGAGTTCCTGGACAACTTCGACCGGTTGGTGATGTACAGCGATCATGCCATTGTACATGCCATACTTTAGGTTGTTTAATTTGACATAATAGGCATTATTTAAAGATGGATCGCTGACATCCTTCGTTATGTGAAGTTGTCCGGTGAGCCCGAACTGGGAGGCATATCGCGCTGGCTCGATAACCTCGGTTTTCACGTCGGCATAGTAATTGTAAATCACCGTTGTCTCAGCAGGAAAGTGTACTGAAATATTATACATGAAGTATTACAAATTAACTTATATATATATCACTTATGATTTTACGCTTACGATGTTAATGTATTTTGTTTTATATTATTTATTTGTCAATTAAAATAAGTAAAGTTTCATTGATTGTTAAATCAAATGATTTGCGAGAGAGAAAATAATTTTATATTTATACATCATTGGACCATTGAATTTATCGTTATTTACATATAAAAAAACTATTTACGATCTACTTACATATAAAAAAAACTATTTACGATGCAGCATGTTAAGGATATGCGGGCTTGTTAGTCCGCAATAACGCGAGAATTTGTAGTAACCTTTATTTTTATATGCGTAACTCCGAAGAATGTTTACTCTGCTCGAACTGCGAGCGTAATAATGATACGTGACTCTAACAGAGGGCGCTCGTAATCTAACTGAAGTTGCGCGTAGGAGCGAAATCAAACTAATCGAAAATAAATGAAATTAATATTTGAATAAATGAAATTAACGAAAGTGATTAAAAATTAACTGAAAGTGGATGGCAAAATTAAAAAGTATCTCCCTACAGCCTTATCACAGCAAATGAATACATGGACGTAATTATCATTTTTCCGAAGAAGTGATATAATCAGTATTGTAATGTAACATTATTATAAGTATACAGAATACATAACGTGTTTATATCGATTTGTAGACAAACTTTTTTATAAAATAAAAAAAGTAGAGCTTACCTGGTACCGCATACGCAGCCGTTAGGCACAGGAGCAATACTGAAAACATATATAATTTATATTACATACATTATGATATTATATGTGTTACACATTATATTAAAAATGTCTAAGATTTGTGAAAAAAAAGTTGCAAGAAAATGTTAAATTTAAATCAGTATATTTATTAAGTAATTATAAAACTTTAATATACATTTAAAATGTATATTAAAGTCTAATATTTCTATGAAACTACAAATGGCTTTCTCAGATACTTAATTCTTGCCAGAATTTACAAGTCGATCACAAAAAAAAAACATTTTTTTCGTCTCCGAAATATTTTAAAAAATGTGGAATTAAAAAGAACAGATGTTAATTTGTAATTTAAAAAAAATTAAACGGTTGATATAGTTATGGATGTAAATCTAGACAAGACACCTGTGTTTCTCACAATTATACACATTGCACTTGTCGTCAGAATTACGAAAAAAAAAAAAGAAGAGACGAACTCCGTCGGAGCGCAACTCGATCGCGGAACTCCATCGGATTTAAAAGCACGAAAACACTTCTTCGCTTTCGGTGGGAAACGACTTACCAGTAAGGGCATTCATCATAGCGTGGCCCCTGATGTAAGACTGGTAGCGTACGCGAGGTGGTCCCGCTTTTATAGGGCGCAAAGTTCTCCAATTGCCTGTGAAATGCAAAAGTGCAGGCATGCCGATAACCCCGCGACGAAAGGGTGTTGTACGTATTAAGGAGAGAAAGAGAAAGAGGATCGTGCCGGTATAATCAAGGAGATAACCCTTTCGGGCATCAAGTCCCCGCAGCTATATTAACACATTAAAAACGCGTACGCATGTATATTAAAAATAATTCGTGTATCAGACCGATCGTGATTGGTCTCGGCAGTTCTTTACCGGGAAAAATTTTCTATCTCTTTCTTTCTCTCTCTCTCTCTCTGTCTAAATTACATATTCATTTCGTGATTTTATTTTTGTAAACACGCTATGCACCACATATATATGTAATCGCTCCCCTGATTTGTATGCACCGGAAAAGAGCGACTGTGAAATACTTCTGGGATATTACTGTAGACCGAGTGACCGGCATTTTGACGATAATGAGATAAAAACAGCAAAACAGTCTGTAAACCGAATGAGGAGTACGGGAAAGAGCATCATTTTTTGTAAGAAGTCGATTTTGCGAAGACGTGAATAGCCAGAACGAAAGTGTTAAAAGACATATGTATAGCGGCTCGATAGAAAGATCTTTGGCAAGAGTGATATAACCAGATTACGTGGAAAGCGGATAATGATAATTAATGAATTTTAGAAATTATACACTATTACAGAAATTATAATTCTATGTTAAATGTAAAAAAAATTGCTGTTGACATAGGAACGGTAAGAAAAATTAGGTAGTGTATTTATTATGAAGTTTAAGTTAAATAAGTTAATATATAGGAATTTGCTTGTTCCCCTATTTATCAATCATTGAAGAGCGAAGTTAAATATTCAATTCAGCTCTTAGAGGGCTTGTATTTTTATAACATTAATTCTTCATTAATTATGATAATCACGAGTAATTATAGCCGTAAAGATAAATGAACGGTTTTTTCACCGATCGCATAAATTAAATAATCATCAAGTTTGATAAAAACAGCTTGATAAAAAGTTAAGAAAACCAAAAAACGATTACGTGTTTACCAGATCTTTTACGTAATAACAATACATCAACATGGATAAAGTAATGTAAAGTGGGATACTAATTAATCTTTAAACTAGTAAAAATAACATAAAAATGTATTTAAAAAATTATTTTTTTATAAAATCTTATAGTGTGTAATGATGTAATTAAGAATAAAATGCTTGTATCTATTTTTAAAAATATTAAAAAATTGAAAATGTAGCAGAATTTTAAGTAAAGAATGCAAATTCCTTCGCTTTGCTTCATATATGGAGTTAAATGTGGGGCAAATGTTGAATACTTAAATAATGAAAATTTAATTTTTTAAACAAACCAAAGGTACAAAAAAAATTATTACAAAATTTAATAAAATAATGAATGTTTTAAAATACACAAAGATATCAACAGCCACCTGCATATTAGATTCCTTTTAATCTATTTTTGTAGTTCACCTTTTTTCTTATTATAATTTCGAAATATTTGGAAAGATAAAAAGCAAAAAACTTCATAGATATATAAAAAATTTAAAAAACTATAAAAATAAAGTTTATAATATTATAAAAATATAATGAACTATAAAGAAACAACGATAATTAGGACAGAATGGAATATTCCACTTTGCCCCACCATGCTTTTGCTTCAACATAACTAATCAAGAGTTACATTGTTTTATTAAATACTCAAACATTTTATAATTATAATCTAATAGCATTAAAAAGTTTAGACTATATTTGATTAATTGTAGAAGTTTAGAGAAAAAAGTATAATTAAATTTAATACACTTACCGTCACGAAAATCTAAGTCAAAAACTGACGCTGCGCAATATCACGCTACACGATGTCGTACAAATGACTCAAAATAAAAAGCTCTCATTGTTAGTTACGTCTTCGAGATGATAGAACAGTACAAATAGTCACCGTGGCTTTGCAGCGCCAAGTAATTAAATCAGAAAATTTTTGATAAATCGGTTTTCCCTGTTCTCCTTCCGGTTTCCCCACTTCCCCTTTTATTCATCTGTCGTCGCTCTGTTAAACAGTATACCAGTGCTATCCAAGATTTGCAATTATGAATATTGGCTGACGTGTACCGATGTTCATGCCTATTGCCTTTCTTTTTCTTAATGAAGGTATAGAAAAAAGAAAGGCAATAGGCGTAAATGCACACACGTCACGTTAATGTCCAAAATTACAAATCTTAGATAGCACTGAGTTATACTGATTGTCTTTGACCAGATATTTTTTATTGATAAATTAAATTATTTGATCAATTCTTTGGACTCAATTTTTCCTGAACAAAAATATTGAGAAAGATCACTGATTGCAATTTTCCGGTTTTTTGCATCTTTGTACTACGCCTCGAATTAAATTGTCTTGAAGCAAACTTTACTTTATTAATATTAACTGAATATTAACTGAAGAATATAGTATTTATTTCACTTTTTAAAGTTTGATTCGTGAAATATGCTCTTTTCACCTTATAATATAATTCCTTGTAATTTGAAGATTATTAATATTTTGATATTTTCTAAAGAAAAATTAACTTTAAATTGGTCAAAAAATCTGTCATTAAAAAGACATTCAATAAATATTTCAGACATTTTGTGTTGTTAATTATTTTTATCTACAATTTCACTTAATATAAACAATCGTCTGTTTCTAGATAATTACATATGTATATTGAATGATTATTTTTATTTCATTGCGAGCATTATATTAAAGGTAATATTATATAAGATGATCTAATATTTTTTTCTTTTCTTTTTATACTATTTATACTATTTTATACTATTTTATACTTTTATTTAATATACTATTAGTTCCTCTTCATTAAGTAAAGTTTTTAAGTGGCACATTATAAATATCCATGTGTAATACTATACTTGTGTATTAACGTTGTATGCATTCAATGTGTATAGAATTATATTTCTGTTTTATTTTATTCTGGATCGAAGGTGTCATTCTTAAATGTTCAATAATATAATGAACTTAAATTCCATTTGCATATATTTTAAACTCCAGGCATAGTAATTAATTTAATTTCTTCAATAAAACAAATTGTAATTATCTTTATAAATAAACAGCAATTTTTAAAAAATCTTAATCGTTATATATGACAATGTTATTTGTAATGCTAACAATCGAGAGCACATATCTCATAAGAAAATTGATCGATGCTTTATACTTATAAATAAATTATTGTTATATTAATTTTTAATCCATCTATCTATGCGTACTTATTTACTCATTTCTCTGATTATATTTTAAATAGCATTTAATCCAATGTCACTGATATATAATGCATGTAATCGTGTTATTAGTAAATAAAGTATATAATAACGACGAATAGCATATTTCACGAATCAAACTTTAAAGAGTGAAATAAATACTATATTCTTCAGTTAATATTTGGTTAATATTAATAAAGTAAAGTTTGATCTCCGTGGTGGTTATTATTACACATGATTTACAGCTCTAATTATGAGTGCTTGCGTACGAGGTATCGGTTTACATGATTAACAATATCTACCACCGACGATTAATATATATGGTTTCATATTTCAATTTGTTGCGTCACGTAAGATTTGCAAGGTGGAAGTCGTCAATTAAGTCATATCGCGTGATCTAACAAAATTAAAGTTATCAGATTCTCAGTCGCGAAGTGTTACGGTAACTTCAAGGCTGCTGGCAAATTGGTTCCATATGCTAGCCGACGGCTATCGCTGTGACAAGACATCGAAATGCATACGTTGTTTTCGGCGAGGAATCACCTTTGATAAATTTAACGGATATCGAACGTTAACATTATAGGTCACAGCGTAAATTATAAAGTGAAGACAAAACAACACAGCTCTCCAGAATTAAGACGAGTCGTAATAATCGCGGTCGCATTAAAATATCAATTATCTCGACTAATTAATAAACGGTACGAATGGATTTTAATAGAAGATTAACGTAAATATTTGTAAAGAGAGAGAATGCGTTTCTATAATTAATTAATGCAAAATTGTAAACAAATCTTTAATTTTTCGAACGTGATCTTTGATTTATCGAGCGTATGAGGCAGTCGTAAAATAGGAAATACTTGAAGAAGATAACAAAGAGAGGTAATAATTATAAGAAATTTATAGTAATTTTATTGCAGTATACCAATAATTAGTAATCATTTTATTAAAATATTAATAATTTATTAGTAATATAGTAATTTTTAGTACTTACAAGTTTTATAATGGTAATTTTATTTACACAATGTAATAAATTAAATCCTCTCGTTCATAAAATAATCTTTTAGTTTTTCTATTGCCTTGCTGCGATGAGAAATCCTGTTCTTTTCTACCTTCGACAATTCCGCGTAAGTTTTATCGTAGCCCAGCGGTTCGAAACAAGGATCCCAGCCAAAGTCCCTGGGACCCCGTGGATTCACAATGTTGCCTTGAGTTCGACCTTGAAACAGATGGACTTCCGAGCCTTCGCCCGGACAGTAAGCAAACGTGCAAATAGCCTCCGCCGATTTGTCCTCAAATCCATGGAGTATCCTGTGAAGACCCTCGGGATGCAGTTTCTCGAGGAACCACTTAATGTAAGGTCCCGGAAGGCCCTTCATCGCGTTGTAGGAGAGACAGGTGTCTTCGATAATTACCGGGCCCTTCACCAGGTTTACCGCGGCCCGACATTTCTCTCGACATATGTCGTCTATCTCACCCTGATACTCAGGCAGATCAATCTTTTTACTCGTTATCCTTCGAGGAAAGTCTTGTCCTAAAATAGCGACGAATTCCTCCAGCTTCTTGGCGTTGCCTGTCACAAACACTATGGGCAGCGACATTCTGCACAGAAAAGACACGCAAACGCGTCAAATAAGACGTATATTAATTATTTTAAAATCAATAAAATTTCTAGTCAATGTTACACATCATTGGAAAAACTCTTGCCCACTCTAGGATTAATTATCCTTCGATAATACTGCAAAATTATATCTTTATCAAATTCCATAAAAAAAAATAGAACATTTCAAATAATAATTTCTTTGCGATACAAAACTCAGTGAGTTTTATTGTAAAACAAACAGGAAATGGTATAGTAAAAGATATGTGTGTATGTGTATTCTCATTGCGGATTTCCCCTTAACAATTGTAATAATTATTGCGCTTTATATCGTAAAGAAAATAAATCAAATCTTAATTTCAATTATTCTTTATAAAATTAACTAAGATAATATTTTATATTGGATACTTCTAACTACTAAATTGGAAAAATTAGACAAAGATTTAGTTAAATTACATCAGAATAAAATTTTCATTTTTTATTTGTTATATAATTTTATTATATAATTTTACTGTAGATTGCATCTCCATTGTTTATTCTCTTTCCAATCTCGCGCGTTTTTACATCGTTTCAAGTTGGCACTGAACTTGTCAAGTAATGACACGCGTTGTGTATTTGATATGCTTTCTATTATATATTATGAATTGTTTTCAAAATAATGTGAACGTCAAACATTCAAATAACAAACTAATTTTTAGGCTTCTAATACAAGAAGGAAACCTATTACCTTCTCATTTAAAGTACGTCTTTCACGTTAAAACTTGCAGTCGCTCCTAACCAACAAAACCACAGCAGCCAATGCGTCCAATGTTTTTACGATCAGGCTGACCAACTTCGCTCAGATGAAAATTCGCAAAACTCGCTTGACCAATTCAATGTAAAATTTTCTGATTGGTTGATCCAGTGTGTACGAACTCTGGCATCGGTCGCTGTGAATGGCTGTGATCGATCGCAACATATTTAAAATGGGATACTTAATCGTCCTCATTCACTAATCAGGTAGAAAACAACTTCATTATTTATAATAAAGGCAATCAAGTATATTTTACCTTCAATATGTAAAATATTGCATCACTTTTATGTCGTAAGAAACAATTGGCATTGGAGCTTCCTCCCCTCGTCCGCGTATGGCGCTTCGGACGAGATTTGACACATGCAACGCCATTCTTGTTATCTCCGAATAATCCGCGATCAGTGGCGGCGGCTGGCGCGGCTGGGGCCTGGAGCGATGTCAGTAGCATAGTGGTGTATGTCATTTCAGGCTTGTCCAAAAATGCCGAGTCAAGAAGTCGCGACGACGAAGGTTGTGGTCCACCCGCTAGTGCTGTTAAGCGTGGTGGACCACTTTAATCGCATGGGAAAAATCGGAAACCAAAAACGAGTGGTCGGTGTACTCCTGGGCTGCTGGAGGGCCAAGGGAATCTTGGACGTGTCGAACAGCTTTGCAGGTTAGGAACGTAAAATACGCTACGACGACGTTTCTTGAAAAACGTTTTGCAATCGAGCCATTCGTACCCCGCAATTAATGCGCATGAATGCCCAACGCATTCTCCCTAACCTTCGAAGCTGAGTGCGGTGTAAAGAGATACAAACACTTGTTTCAGTACCCTTCGATGAGGATGACAAGGACAAAAGTGTATGGTTCCTTGACCACGATTATCTTGAAAATATGTATGGAATGTTCAAGAAAGTCAATGGTGAGCATCTATGTTTGTGCAAATCCTGTAAATTTTAATTTGGAGCAAGGATTATAATTGCGATATCCTGTGATTTGATTCTTAGCTCGCGAGAAGGTAGTAGGCTGGTACCACACTGGGCCTAAGCTGCATCAAAATGACGTCGCCATCAACGAACTGATAAGGAGATACTGCCCTAACTCAGTTTTGGTGATTATCGATGCCAAACCCAAAGACCTTGGACTTCCTACCGAAGCGTATCAAGCAGTCGAAGAAGTGCATGACGTACGTTTACGCATATATTGTCTGCCGTCTGTTTTGAAAAGAAATATGAGCATGTAACAAGAATTTTATTCGCAGGATGGTTCTCCTACTTCGAAAACTTTTGAGCACATCCCAAGCGAAATTGGAGCCGAAGAAGCAGAAGAGGTAGGAGTGGAGCATTTATTGCGAGACATCAAAGACACTACAGTTGGCACCCTCAGTCAAAGAATCACGAATCAGCTACTTGGCTTGAAAGGTCTTCACGAACAAATACGGGAAATTAGAGATTATCTGCTTCAGGTACATGCCGATATCCAATAGACATTATTTTTACACTAATACTGTCGACAGGTTTACTCAAATAGATTCTTTCTTGCAGGTTGGCAATGGAAAATTACCTATAAACCATCAAATTGTTTATCAGCTTCAGGATATCTTTAATTTATTACCTGACATGACTCAAAGTAGCTTCGTCGATTCGTTATACGTGAAGACAAACGATCAGATGCTGGTTGTGTATCTAGCGGCATTGGTTAGGTCCATAGTGGCGTTGCACAATTTAATTAACAATAAGCTGACCAATCGTGACGCTGAGAAAAAAGAGACGGACGGAAAGAAGGATACGAAGAAGGAAGAGAAGAAAGAAGAGGAGAAAAAAGGGGAGGAAAAGGCGAAAGCTAAAAGCCAGTGATCGGAGCATCCCTGAGCCTGCTCAGTTGCGAGATTGAGACTGTTAAAGTTGAGGACAATTAATGACTCTGTGTGTAATAGTCAAGCCTGTTCACTATTTGTACAGAATTATATCCCACTTATAAATAATGACAGTTTAAAATATGTATTAGAAACAGCAAATCGATTCCCGAACTGTTTTGGTATAATTCTGTGAGTTTTTAATACACATTTAGGCGCAGGAGAGATAAAAATAAATGCTAACTCAACACTTCTGTATTTTGAATGTAATGAATGATGTAGTAGTAAATATATCGAAAAATTTAGGATTTAAGACATTTTTACAAAATATTGTAACCATTACAATATTTGCAGTGTTTTAATTAACAATCCGTTAATATAAACAATAGTATTCTGTACGAAGCAATTATTTATTTTCTCTCGATTTCATTTATTAATCAACTAGTAACAAACAATCGATGTGTGCTCTTTTAAATTGCCTTAGGCGAGTCGCTTAAAATTTAAGTTTCAATTAACACGTGTGATAGATATGGATAATGTATTTTTTAGGAAATACAAGTCATTCTATTAAGAGAAAATATTACATTTAAATAATAAAGTAATCTTTTACTTATACCGTTTTATTAATTTATTATTAATATAGAAATATTTATACTTATTTATGCTTTATCAAAAGAATATACAAAAATGCAGATATAGTTAGATATATATTTATACGCGTGATCTTTGTACATGTACAATTTTTGTACATGTTTCGGACGGAATATATGTATACATAAAATTTTATCCATTGTATACATGATTATGATTGTACAATGTACATGATCGATTTAAAGCATCTACGTACCACATCATTTATTAACAAATATTACAATAATTTTATCTCATGATTCGATTAATCTGTTTGTTTAAAAAGAATTTAGACTTCTAAATCTTTTTATATCAGAATGCTGAAAATAAGCATAAGAAACCATTGCCAGGCGTTGATCTTCGTGGCACTGCTGTAAGCTATGCCCACGTAAGGTTCCAGATTTGAATCATTATAGTGCTGGAAGTACCAGTTGAAAGGACTGTCGTCCATCACTTTGGCCTCATCGTCGATGACGAACGCCTCGCTCTGGCTTTCGGTCGTCGTCTCGTCGACGATCTCGCTTCTCTGAGTAGCGCCAACGATCGACTTCTGGCGATCTTTCTCCCGGGATTGCTCGGAATTGTAGCTGACGTACGGCGAGGCGACCTTGGTTATCGTGGATCTACCTAGCGGACGTAAATTTATTCCTGAAGAAGGTATTTGTCCCCCCGGGACCAGAAGCGCGGACAAAGCGGACGCCTCCGTCCCTCGAGAAGTCACAGTCGTGGTTTCTCTGGGCGGATTCGATGTGGAAGACGTCGCGGGCGCTGAGAAATGCGGAATCGGTTCCGCATCCGTTTCAATTACAATATCCAAATCGTCTGCAATAAATAAAATATTTTTGTTATCTGTTCTATGGTCTATATAAACTATATATAATATATGTACTGCAAATTCAAGTGTGTGTACTGATGTAGTCACTCTTTATGCATTTATACGCGTGCTATATTTTTACACATTTTATCTGTGCTTTACACAGTTAAATGCATATTTTTTACACGCTTAATTTTACAATAATATGTGTAAGCGTGTAAAAAATATGCATTTAACTGTGTAAGACACAGATAAAATATGTAAAAATATAGCACGCGTATATAAATGCGTAAAAAGTGACTACAGATTTATACGCTTGTATTTGCAGTGTGACACAACAAATTTAACTTTCTTGTCAATTTAAACTTTAACAGCGCAAATTAATCAAATCGACTCTCATCGGTTAATCAAAAACATATTTTATTTTAGCAGGTACTTATATATATATATATCTGAGAGTGAAAGATCTCATAAAGATAACATGTGCGCATGTCAAATATTTTAAAATCAAATTTTATTAATTTTATTTATATAGATATAAACTTACCAGGTTTCTCGTGAGAGTCAACTGCGCTGCTTAAAAGGGTTGAATCTTTTTCGTATTCGGATACTTCTAAACTCCAGTCTTTGGAATCTTTGGATCCGCTTTCTCTCGACGGTGCTACCTCAACCGCTGCAGTTACAGTTTCCTTGCTAATCGTACCTTTTTTCGTTTCCGCTACCGTTATCGTTTTCGGTGTGGTCCAAACTATCCTGTTGGCGACTTCCATCTGCGGCTTCTCTATGAATTTAGTATCTTCCGTATTTACCTCTAAACTTTCGCCGTCGTAAATCTCGGTGGACACCGACGTTTCGTGAGCTTCTTGCGATGAATCTTCCTCCACGATTATCGACGCGCTATTTTTTACTGTGTTTGATGCATTAAGGCTAAACGAAAAAGTTCAAAAATAATTATCTGAAAGTAAATATTGGTAACAGCGCTTTTTAAATTTAAAGCAATTTAAAACTCAATTTTTTAAAATTAAAATATCAAGGTATATATTTATATATTTTTTAATCTGTACACTATTTTAAGAATTAAATAAAAAATCTGGAGAATGTGTTATCTTAGACTGTATGTTAAATTCAGAAGGTTGCGTCGAAAAAGAAGGAATAATTATTTAGTTCACCTGTTTCTACTGACGTTGGTCAAAATCTTGCGAGACTCAAAACCAGTCGATCGAACGATTGTCGATGCAGTGGGTAATTCCTCCCTCTCTTGGAGGCTCGTCCGCGGTTTCCCGGTCTTGGGGACAGTTTTCTCCAATTTGTTCACGGTGCTGTTTCCGCTTTTTCGAGGACGTTCGTGCTGTACCGATGTACTGCTTACATTCGACGATCTTGAAGTGTTCGCCTGTTTCTCGTACGTCAATCTAGGATCAGCGCTCGGCACAAATCCGCCTTGGGCGCGCGGCAGGGGCACGAAGCCACCCCTGTGAATTTCCGGTTGCGTGGGCGGAAATGATCTGTAACGTCCTCGGCCAGGTCTGTCCGACGGCAACGACGTCGATGAGGATTCCTTTCTGTCCGTCTTTCTGGCCGAATTACCCCACAGAAAGTTCACGGGAATGCCGAAGAAGGTAACGCCGGATGACGGCGGCACCGTAGGATTCTTCTTTATTGGTAACGTGGCGTTCTTCTGTCCTTGATGCTTCTGCGACGGCGGGTGAATGATCTTCACGGTCTGGGTAGGTGCGCCGATGGTAGACACGCTGGGCGGCAACGTGCTTGTGTCGCTTCCGTTGTCCTGATAATCTACGTACTGGTACAAGTAATCAGAGTCCTGGGAAACGGAGGGCTTTTGCGTCGAGAAATCCTTTAGATTCATCCACAATGGTACTGTCTCTGTAATCCCAAATGCTGACAAATTTAATGTAATTTAATAAGCTATAATATAATTTACTTGTTCGATGGAACTATTTCTTTGGATAAATTCTAAATATATATTAATTCGAGTACATCATGTACTTTTGAAAAGAGATCCTTCTTTAAAATACATAATTACTTAATAACCAGAATTAATTTATTAGTCACGTTTAAAGTAATTGAAATCGTCGGATAAAACAATATAATAATTTGCCAGTGATAAAAATAGTTAATGTCTTAATTTTTCTGTGTTGCTAATAAATTTATTTTATTCAGATTATTCGTCGATTTACCGGATGAAGAAACCGAGGGCGTCGCAACGTTAACCATTTCGGCCTCGCATCCTGGATAAATCGGCTCCACGTGTCTCTCACGCTGGCAATCCTGTCGCGATAATCTAAGCTCTTTGAAAAGAGATCCGTCAGCGCATCTAGGACCCTCCTCGGAAGCCTGCTGTAGCCATCCTCGCAGCCAAAGCATGCCGCAAGAGCAGGATAGTGGATTTCCTTTCTCGGAAATAAGAGGGAAATAATATAAATATATAAAAAAGTATATCGACAAATTATCAATATTAAGTGTATCAAGGGACACTTTTATTAATAAAAATTGACGTCAATTAATATTTTATTCTAATGCCAAGTAAGTGATTTAAATACGACTTTCTATATAATTTTCGTTAATTTAATCAATACTCTAAATTACCGTCGATATCCAAGACGGCGATGTTCGATCGCAGCCTTTTAAAAGCGTTTTCGGAGACCGCGGTCATCCGATTGCTTCGCAGGCTCAATACTCGCAATCTGGGCATATCATCGAAAGGCGAACCATGCACGGCGCAAATCCGATTGTTGTCCATCTGCAGAAAGGAAAACGGCTATAAAGCGGCTATGTAAAGCGGTTCAGCTATCTCCCTAATTAACGATGCAGGTGTACGAATAATTGCTCCGCCAGCAGAACGGTCCGTCTCGCACCACGGTTCACGCAGGAGAGTTTCACTCTCGACGAGAAAGTATTCTTCTCTATTAGCGCAAAGGCTCTCGCACTCTCGTTGTTTTATATACGTGACATTTAGCAAGTTAATTCGAATAAACCTTTCACAAATTGTGCTGCATGTTGTTTTGAATTTCTGATCACGACAGAAAAAAATATTTAAATAATATGAAATGTACACTAAAGCGCGAGGTAACATATATATATATATATATATTCTATATCTTTTAAAATCTATCTCTATATAAAATCTTGAAATTTTCACTATGAATACCTTTAATTCCACTAGCCATTCCATAGCCGCTAGACTGTCGCTGGAAACTCTAGATAATCGATTGTAACTGAGATCAAGAACCTCTAACGAGTGAAGGCTCTCCAGTCCGACGTACGCCAAGTCCGGCAGATGATTATGACTTAGATTAAGGAAAAGTAAGTGTGGCACGTTAATGAAGGCATTATTAGCGATTTCCTGAATCCGATTCTCCTGCAGTTCCGCGCTCTGCAGCAGCGGTAATTCGGTGAAAGCACCGCTGGGAATGGACTAAAAAAAATCACGTACATTACATTAGATTCACACTTTTTTAGCTTAATACATTTATAAGTTTGTAATATGTGATATAAGTTTTCGATATATTCTAAACATTTTTTGCGATAACACAGATTTTGAAACTCTTCGCTTATCCGAACAAAATGTACAACAAAGATGCTCTGTTTAAAAATATTAATCTAATACGAAATATTAGTCTACAATCGTGGATGACCGTAAGTTGATACCTGTAATCGATTCCTGCCGAGTCGGACGGCCTGCAACTCCGGTAACGCTCTGATCGCGTTTCTCTCGATCACCCTGAGATCATTGTTTTCGAGATCGATCAAGGACAGTCGCGGTAGTCCGTCGAACGCGCCCTCCCGCAGCTCCCGTATATGATTTCTGACCAGTTTCAATTCCAACAAGGACGACAGGCTGCTTAGTGTTTCCGGAGATAGGATGTTCAGCTTGTTGAAGCTCAAGTCGAGGACCCGTAGAGCCGTTAAGCCATGCAGCGATCCGGGTAACTCGGTCAAAGTATTGTGCGACGCGTACAGTTCACGAAGGTCTCTGTAATTGACATTGACGTTACCGTTTTGAATGTGGGATGCTTAAACAAATCTTTTCTCGAAGAAAAAGTACGCAACGACGTTCGAAGATGTACGAAAGATCGGAACATTCTTCAAATTTCTTTTACGGCATTACTTATAGCGTTTAAATAAAAATACGTTTGAATAATTTATTATAAATATCAATTTAAATTAAATCGTAAATTTATGACTTACATGACTTGGATATTAATGGATCTTTTAAATCTGAGAGAAAATTATGATGTCATTAATCATCATTAGAAAATGCCTCATTTGCATTTCAAATTTATGTAAATTTAAATTAAATCTAAACATATCTCTTTTTGCATTAAAGCATACCTTTCGGAGTACTTTGAGTGTGATCAAGTTAAATTCGATGGATGAGATTAAATAAACTCGCGTATAGAATCGAGCCAAATTACTGTCAAATTAGTCGACACGCCAGGCCGATGCTACACAACGACGAGAAAGAGATATTAGCGTGTGCACGAAAAACTTTCTAGGTACCAAGTTAAGAGTGATGCAACCAAGTAACCACGAGTGAAACTACTTTTCCACTATAATGCGAGACCGCAAGATAACATATAAAGGAGAAGAAATTTACTTGTATTATTATAAACGTGATATATTAAATTTTGATTATTAAAATAAACATGGTAAATTTAGATACTTTCTATGCATATAATTTAACTTTACATGTACATATTATACATGAAAACAAGAAGAAAATATCGTATGATGTAGGCACCACATTGAGAAATAAGCAGTAAATATATTTTATCGTATGTTATTTCGTATATTATTTATTATCGTATATTATCGTATATTATTTTATTTACAAAGATCGTACTATTATTAAAAATTGTTGAATTTCTTACCTGGTATTGGCAAAGGTGGCGTGAGGAATTTGTGCGAGATTATTTCTGCTCAAGTCAATTCTTTGCAGTCTCGTGTTCTCTTGAAAAATATCCGGTCGCAGAACCTCCACTCGATTACCCCGAAGATTTATGTCCATCAACGACTTTAGCGGTCGGAAGCTTCGTCCGTGCAACGTGACCAGTCGGTTGCACCTCAAATCCAGTTGTTCCAATCCCGCGAGTCCGTCGAAAACGCCGTCGTCTAGAAGTCTCAGGGTGTTGTAACCTAGATTCAATTTTTTCAAATTCGGCAAGTCAACCAGGGTGCCAGGTAAAATTCTCTCAATCCCATTTGAGCTTAAATCCAACGATCGTAGGGCAGGTAGAGCTAGATCCTGAGAGGACACGGTTGGCAGGGCGACGATACGGTTCTTGGACATGTGAAGGTGTTCGATGTCCTTCGGCAGACCAGGGACCACTTCCAGCATACGATTCAAACCGATGTCGAGCTCGTATAAGTTCGCCAGGTGTCGGAAGGTTAAAGGATGAAGAACAGACAAGGCATTCCCGGAGACATTGATGTGCTCCAGCGCCGGTGTGCCCAGAAAAGACTCCGGTTCGATGAGTCCTATGGCGTTACCGCTAAGATCCAGCCGTCTGAGATTTGGCAGATTAGTGAACAAACGTGGTTCTATGTGACGGAAATAATTTTCTGAAAGATCCAGGCCCTGAAATCATCGTGTTGATCGCAACTGTTACATAGAAATAGTATAAAATACCAGCAATTTGATTTTTAAGACCGAAGTTAAATTCGAAATTAATAAATTACTGTAGAATAATAAATATAATTATTTAATATCTGTAATTAATATCTGAGAAATTAAAATTTGAGAAAACATATATGCTTTACCTTTAACGCTGGCAAATTCCAGAAGGGAACTTCCAGCAAATTTGACAGGGAATTATTCTTCAGTCTAAGTTCCCTGAGCGCCGGCATCGCCGTGAACGTTTCTCTCTGCAAAAATGCGAGCCTGTTGTGATTCAGATGGAGTCTCTCCAAAGTGGGATGGCCTCTTAGAGCACCGAAGGGTATTTCCTCTAACTGATTGTGACTGGCGTCCAGGAACTTCAGCCTTGGCAGAGCCTCAAGCACCGATCGTATCTCCGCCACGTGGCTAAGGTCATTGTTGATCAGCCACATCTCTTCCAACGCGTTTCCTACCCGCTGCGAAAAGAATTCCGGATGAATGCGATGAATCAGATTGTGATTCAGGTCCACGGACTTGAGGGCTGGTACCCGCTGGAAAGCGCCGGCGAATATCTCGGTGATGTGATTGCGCGACAGATAGAGGCGCGACAAAACGGAGAGATCGACGAAGGAGCCTTCGCCCAGGCGATTGATGCGATTTCGATCGAGACGTATCACCGACAGCGACGGAAGATCCATGCACGCGCGGCCGACCATACCGGCGTCGATTATGGCGTTTCCAACCAACGAGATCTCCTTGAGCTCCGGTAGATTGATCATGGCTCGCGGATGAATCCAGTGGATACCGGAATCGGTGATGTTGATCAGTTCCAGTCGAGGCAGATCTCGAAGAAGCCCGGCCTCCAATCTGGCCAGCCTCGGACTACCCAGCACGTGCAGCTGTTCCAAGTTGGGAATGTCTCGGAAATTCCTCGGGACGAGTTCTAGCAAGGCCGGAGAGTTGATCTGAAGATACCTCAGCTTCGGCAGACCGGAGAACGTCGGCAGTCGCTTCATCACGCGACTCTGCAGCGTCATCGCCTCGATACCCTGCAGGTTCTCCAGACTGTCCACGGGCAGGGACCTCAGATCGGGCTCAACGATGAACAGTTCCAGCAAGGAGTCGTGTAAACCTTCCAGCCAGCCGGAGGATACCCTTTCGAGACGATTGTTTCGCAGCATCAAGCGCAGAACTCGTAAAGATGCGAACACTTTGCCGGGTAAACTGGGCAGATTGTTGTTCTCCAGAATCAGCTCGTCTACCGGCCGGTCCATATAATGGCTCACCGCCTGCAGACCTTCCAGTACCTTTGGTAACTCGCTGTGGCTACACCTGTGCGAATTTACGACGTTCGAGATTATTCGTGTAATTTTCGTGATTACATATCTCTGGCCATATCTGAACTTGCCATATCTGAACCTCCATATCGCGCGTGGAGCATCTGCATGGCAGTATCCTCTCTTGAAGCGGACATCCGTAATCCGGATCTAACTGGGCACCGGCACCGATGGAACGGAGTGCCAGGAGCCAGCCGAGTATCAGGAGCCCACCGCCCTCCGACGGCCTGACCATCGCGCATTTGGACCGTAGTCTACGACCGCGAGTAACAATTCCGCATTTTCTGAAATTCGCGCGTGAACGAACGAATATACGGATTTGTACAATAGAAATAAAAAAAAGCATTAGAAAAAAACCTGAATCTATCTCTTCAGCTAAATTATGCGTTTTACAAGTTGATAATTAAGATCCACAAAATCTTCCAAATCGATTCTGAAAGGGATTTCTTTTTTCCAAAGTGATTTTACGCACTAAATGCAGTTCTGTTGCCAAAAAACTCATTAGGGAAATGATAACAGTAACGAGTGTCGCGTTTCAACATATCGAGGAGTTACGTAGCGTTTCCGCGAATACAAGACGATGAGAATGCGTGGCTAAGATTAGAAATCTCGTTAGCAAAACAACCACCGATTGGTGGGATTTAAGACGTTAAAAGCCCTTGGACGTTACGGTACGCCTCTGTATCCTGAGCGCGATGCCACGCACTGTGTACGCGTGTACACACGTCACGGTCGCAGACGACAAAATTGATGTCTCGTACCGTAAGCGAAGTTAAAGACCGCTAGGACAATCATTGTCCGTAATAATTGTCGTCGCGCGAGCACGCTTCTGATGTATAAAGTGATGACCGGCGAATAGAACTGGAGGATAAGCTGGATTAGGATTAAAAATTCGCACTTTAAAGAGAAAGAAAATGTAGGAAACTTATTGTACTTTGAGCACTATATTTGGAAGCACCTTTGTCGGATAGCATTATTATGTACTGACAAAATGACAAAAATATAAAATTATACAATTGTATATAATTATATAAATATAAAATTATACAATTGTATATAATTATATAAATATTAAATTAGTCAGAAGTCTATCGGAAAGTCTTTTCGTATTTACGAATTTAAATACTTTCTGATCACTCTGATATATTGTGGAGAATCATTATCGTGATAAATATTATCTTTTAACTTAATTCCATACATACGTGTACATAATATATACATATAAGAGATAATATATATAATTTTTTTTTTCTGCTGCACATTATTTGCTTTTATTATTACTGCGCAATATTTCTAAATTATATTTTACGTAAGTATTAGCGTAAAGACAAAAATAATTTGTAAAATAAACATGTGTGTGTTAATAGAAAGATAAAGGAGTTCACTAAGTATCCTGTCATGCAGAAAAACGTTTGGATTTCGCAATGCCAGTCTTTAAGAAGAAGGAAACAATCGGGCGCGGCCTGAAAAGTCATTCGTACGTGAATAACGTCGATATAGCGCGATCCACGATAAAACGAATCTAAGTGCATTGTACGCGTTGCGTTAACGAAAAGATCTGACTTGATGCGATGTGTATGTATGTATGTGTGTGTGAGTGTGGGGATCTGTTTCCGCATCTCGAGGTGCTTCCGTAGGATTGGAAAAATGTGCTTGAGCTCAAATGATAAAATAAAATTAATTGTCGCAAAGATATAATATGTATTTTTGGGTATTTTGCATTATTAATATCGAGATTGGCATTAGAGCATTTACTATATCCGTTGCTTTTTAGCAGTGATCCTGTTTTTCTTTTTTTTTTTTTTATTTCTAATTCTCGCATAATATATCATCTTATTTGAATAATTATACTTGTATGCTTATTCTTATTGTCATTTTTTGTGATTTTATATACAGATTATTTTCGTATTAATACGTATCTTATCTTTCAAAAGATTTTTTCAAGATTTTTCGAGCATTGTAACAACATTAATGCTATTTGTATATATTATTTTATTGTATATATGTACTACATTAATATTTTACTATATACATATATAATTTATTTGTATACTTTATTGTACATATTAATGTAATTACTATTAATACAATTTTTTTATTTTCTACAACATTGCTCAATGAAGATGCATTGGTAAATACTGGTGATTGGGCTTTCTCGCGTAACTCCCAATCAATTGTCTTTCAACTCCATTCTCATAACTCTGAATTTTGATCAAACAACAGCGTTTGTTTAGCCTCAAAGAGGTATGGACGCAATTTTAGTGAAAGTGATACTCACTTCCTTGATATTTCGCCGTCAGTGACCTCAAGCGTACATCTCATTTTCTATCGCAAATGCTATTTTTACGTCATTATGCAACTGCACAAGGAAGATTATATTGTTTCATGGGGCATTTGTAGTACAGAATAATAATCAATATCGATCAATTTGTTTTAAAATTTCTGATATGTTTTTTAAAATGTCCTTTCCTATATGAAAATTTATTCTTAAATTTATATGTATTATACTTATATGTATAATATTTATATTATAAAAAATTAGCTATCTCCACAGAAGCTTCTTTTATTTTTATTATATGGAGTGTATCTTAAATACAAATATTGTATTATTTCTTGTAAAAAAAAACTAACTTGAAAAGTCATAAATCATTTTTTTTCTACAATACTCAATGAAACTGTAATTGCAAAAGTAGAGATTGCTTCATTGTGCATTGTAGAAAAAAAGATTTAAAACTTTACAATTTTTTACAAAAAATAACGCTATAATTAGTGCACTCTATTTAAGATACACTTTATATATCATGTAATTAAGAAAAGGGATCAATGGGACAACGTAAATTTCTATAAAACAGAAATATGTTTTGGAAACGGTTAACAAAATTGTGTACTAATTTTATTATCGTGCTATAACAATTTAATTTATAAAAAAATTCCGAATAAATCCAATTTTTAAACGTCCATAAACTTTTACTTACCTTCTGTATCGCCAGTGTTTGCTAAATCAGCGTCTTTCTTCTAAAAAATTCTATGTTTCTCAGCAAGAACAAAATCCGCGAAGAAAAACCAAATTTGCTTTTTGAAAATTATTTGCACTCATAAAACGAACAATTTTTTTTTTTTACAAAACGCGAGCGCGTGCACGCACACATCCACACACGCCTTATCTTTTTCAACGTCTCTCCGGTCACGAGTACAGCTTTTCTCGTGATCTCGTTACGTACTAAATGTACTGAAGAAGCTGTTCGCAAAAGCGTGGTGGCCTGCGCAAACTTGAGGGGAGAAGATGATGGTGCCATGGCGTGGGTAATGGCGGGAGGGACGCGAAGAGAATTGCGAAGTGCGTATCCAGCCACCGTGAAGACACGCTTCCAGGAAATTCTTCCCTTTCCCCACAAATCTCGCCGATCGTCGAATGTGTACAATTCGGCATCGGTGAAAAATCGTCTTCCCTTTCGTTTTCCGCGTTGCACGCCTGGTGAAGCAACCGGGGTCGATTATGCGCTCCGCGATCGAACTCGCTCGAATGGATCTATTTAAAAAGAGGAAGGAAATGTTCAATAATTCAATTGATTTCGAAAGTTCGTAACGCTTCTTATAACGTTAACAACTATATATATTAATAATTTACTTGATTCACCTCTACGTTCGCGCATGTCACGTTAATTACACATTGATTCTTCACGATCTTTTAAAATTATACTATTTTTAAATTGGAAATTATAACATGTTTTTTGTGGAATTTTTAATAATATGGATTATACTTTATAAAGTTTTATTTTCTGAAGACGAAATAAATTAGTGATTTTAGTGCAATTATACATATATTCATATGCATATCGATTTGCAATGCTATCGTTGGCAAAAGTGGATCTGGCATAAGATATAAGTAAGATAATGATGTATTAATAGAAAATATATTAACATAATATTTATCTATATACAGTAAGAAAACTGCATACCCTCAGAATTATGAAGTTAGTAACTTGCATTCTCTGCATTTACGATCGCGAGTACATTTGATGATCAGTCGTGTAGTGACGTGATTAAATAATGATTAAAAACAGAAAAAGAAATTTGAGCTAAATATTATAGTATATTCGCCATAGTAAATGACAGTGATCTAAAATATTTGAGAATTGCTATCGAGATTACGTTAACTTCACTGATCTCTTCACTGATCAGCGATTAACTTCCAAGTAGCTGTGTAACTATGAAACTTTATGTTCTTTCGCGGTAGAGTATTCTCCCATCTTAAAAATGTCATCTTAAGAATGCATTCAGTAAAATTGTTACATCACTGCTTTATCTGTAACTAAAATTCCCAAGACTTTATCTCGCGTATCGATAAATGTGTGAGAGAAAGTTCTTTTGCAACCTTGATGTTCATATGGCATCCACGAACAGCTTATTAATGCCCTCACATTTTGCTCTCGCTTTGCGAGACTAGATAACCGGTTTTGGATCGTACGAGATATAAACGCTTCGCTATTGGTCCACTATGACCAAGCCTCCGTCGATTACCGCAACAAACACGTCACAGTAAATAAATTACATAAAGTTCCCAATTCGAACTTTTATTCAATTTCCTGGAAAAATACAAGTTCTGTAGTGCAATTGAAGTACAAAGTACAAAATTGGGAGATTATATGATTTTCTAAATTATCCCTCGAATTATACTGAAACTTATTTTATTACTTATAAAACAGGCATTATTTCTTTTTTTTTCACGAATAATATTTAGCTAACAGCAATGACATTCTTTCTACAAAATTTATGTTAAGTATGTTAAAAACTAAATTAATTAAAATAATATAAATATGATATCTAAATATGACGAAAGAGAAATAGTTAATAAAATTGAATTGACGTCTGTAAATGTCATACGTATATATAAATAAAATACTGCCATTGGTGTAACTTTAGTGCAATAAGTGTGCTTTAAAAAAAACACTATCTGTGTGGCTAATGTTGTCAAACGAGTTGTACATATACCTATCCATCAGATCGAGAAAGATTAAGAGTCATTTAAAGTCCTTTTTATGTAAAGACTCATTCACACTGAGATACGAGCAGAACTATATATATATGTCCATGGTATACGCCGCAGCCTCATTCTTTCTACGAATCCTTGCGGAAGTACATCTTTTTCACATTGATTGATGGCGTACCTTGCGTCAGCACAAAAATCTTGAGAATATTTCATCCGTAAGGCACATCTTTGCAAATTTTAAACTGGCGTCGGAGCAACCGCGCAAATCATTCGGATATTTTTGAAACAATTCAGGATCTTGTGCAACAAAAAAGACGATTTAGCATATATCACATTTAAGAGATAAATTGGAGATGCGGTTTATCTATTTTAATAAATGTGACACTTCTGCTTGTTTTACAATTATAATTCTTCTGTGTATATAATGTAAATGCTTGTACAAGGCGTGGTCCTACCTGTGCATGTAATGTGAAGGAGCCTTTATTATAGATACACACGTAAGACATCAGCATCCGTGTTCTAACTGGTTTTGAATATGGGCCGTGATATAATGTAGAATTGCCTGAGCTTCCAGTTGTTTATCGACCATCAACGAGGAAGATTGAATTTTTAAAATTCTCTACAAAGCTCCTTGTGAAGTTATTTGTTTTGAGCACATCAGTGGACAGTTTAAAACAGTGTGAATGTCTTTAGAGTGTTTTCCTCTTTTTTACAATATAATTTATAATATGGAAATTTCCAATCGGAAATAAAAATCAGATAGACTGATAAGAAATAATATCGTGACGACGAGATCTTCTATTTCTTTGAAAATCGTGGTTCATCGATTTTGAGAATAATGTTGTGCAAAAGTGTTATTCGTTTCTCGTGTCACTTTACGAGGAACGTTCGCAGAGACTTTCATGTAAGCATCAATCCTCTTCGCAAGACATTTAAAGAAACCGATAACGTCAAATCTACCAATACCGGAAATACAATTAAATCTCCACGAATACTAATAACAGGTAAGTAAAATAACATTTAACAAGATTAACACTTAAAGCCTGATAAAAGTTCGTTAGAGGAAGTCCAGGTTTAAATGGGGTAATATTTTTTACAATAAATGCTTTACAATATTTTAAGATGCTCACCAGCAGAAGATTATTAAAATTATTAACTTGTTTGCTAATTTATTTCGAAGTATTACGACTCCAGTTTTAGTTTAGGATATACATATTTCAGATTGACAAATAATCGGTGCACAGTTTGAATAAACCGAAAAATGTACATAAATTTATGAAGAAATATTATTACACGGAAAGAATGATTTTGTAAAATTTAAAAATTTTGCTGGATACAAATATTAAATAATTTTTTGTTGGATCATCAAAATAATTATGTTGAAAATTCAAATTGATTATTAGATTATCTCTCTAAACGTTTTACAATACTCATTATTTTTTAAGTTTTCAACAAAATTATTTTCAGATTTATACTTAGCAAAATTTTTAGACCTTTCAGCAAAACCGTTCTTTCCGTATAATAATATTTTTTCGTGAATTTATATACATTTTTCGGTTCATGCAAATTGCACGCCGATTATTTATCAGTCGATCTTGAAACGTAATCTAGAGTCGTAATATTCTGAATTAAAAATAGCAAGCAAGCACTAAATTCAGCTTTAACCGAACATATTTATTTTTATTGTTAGTATATTCATATACCAATTGATTTCACTTATTATTGTAAAAATAACATTTGTTTAAGCTGAATTAACATATTATTAGTAAATTTTACATAATTTAACAAATTTAATTGGTGCTATTAATGTAATATCAATAAAAGGATAAAACATGCGTGATTACATTCTTATTTTTTTTATTTAAAATTAAAATTTTATTTAAAATAATTTAAGCAACAAAGATTATTTTTAATAAAGTGAGACAATAATTACTAAATATAATTTATTTTGTTCTTTATTATACGTCGCACTTGATACGTTTCTAAAATTCGATTGTGCATTTCTTAAAAGAATTCAGATTTAATATCCGATGTTATTTCATATGTATGAATGCAATCGCAGCTCGCATGTCTTCGAAGCTCGAGATTTTATCGGAAAGCATTTTCGCGGTTCTTTGTGTATAGAAAAGTATTACAAGGATGACGCTATGTCATCGATATCCGCGTTTTATCACGAGAGACGCAAGGTGTTCTCTTCGCATAGCAAATTCCTATTGTCGCGTGCGATTATTTTTCAGGTGGTCTCGGACAATTGGGCACGGAATGCGCAAAGTTGCTGCGTCGAAATTACGGTAATGAGAACGTCATACTGTCGGACATTATCAAGCCGTCGGAGGAGAGCTTGGAGAATGGGCCCTTCATCTTCGCCGACATCCTCGACTTCAAGGGTCTGCAGAAGATCGTCGTCGATTACAGGATCGACTGGCTCATCCACTTCAGCGCTCTGCTTAGCGCAGTCGGCGAACAAAATGTTCCGCTAGCCGTCAGAGTCAATATCGAAGGTAATAATTCACGTCGGTGCTTGATCATGTCATCGGATCGAAGCTCGCGTGTTTTTACCGCGAATTATCTTTTGTTTTTAATATTTAATTAATAGAACGCAAAACCTGTCGTGCGAGAACGTGCGCGTGGGGTTTTTCCGCGAACCTCCAAGTGAAATGGAATGTTGTGCCAACGAGTGAATTTGTCATTATGATATTAATTGTGACGCGGTCGTGATCACGAAGGGAAGAAAGTGTCCGGGAGAAAGCGGACGCGAAGTAGCGGTCGAAACGCGATAGATGGTATCGCGATTTACGAAAACATGCCTGCAAGACACACAGAACCAAGACCGAGCTAGTTTTGGAGACAAAGGCCCGCGCGCGAAGTTATATATATATATACAATCCTTTTAAAGACATCTGTGCGAATATTCGTTCGTGCTGCATATTATTTATAATATTCTGTTTTTCTCGCAAAATAACAGGAATGCACAACGTCATCGAGTTGGCGAAGCAATATAAGCTGCGGATCTTCATACCGTCGACAATCGGCGCGTTCGGTCCCGACTCGCCGAGGAATCCCACCCCGAATGTCACGGTGCAACGACCCCGTACGATCTACGGTGTCAGCAAAGTCCACGCCGAGCTCTTGGGAGAGTACTATCATCATCGCTTCGGCCTCGACTTCCGGTGTCTTCGATTCCCCGGTGTAATCAGCAGCGATCCGCCCGGCGGTGGTACCACCGGTAAGGATATCACGTCTCTTTTTTTTATCGTACATTTAACAACTAGTTGCAATAATTTCTCTTCTAACGGAAATGTACTGAGAACAGGCAATGTTTTATGAGATTTGAAACGCACAGTATAATCCGATTTGTTTACATAGCGTTCGCCGTTAAACGATAATTAATCATCAGGTTTTTTTCTCGATTTTTTTTTTGAATAATGCACTTACCTGTGATATCTCTGTAAGAATTCCGCTACCGTGGAATATTAAAATGAGATATTTTTCGAAATGTACATTGCGTGTTCGAGTTTTCCGATTCGTAGCAAGATATAATCGTATATTCATGCTCAAGGAACGCTTAATGCCGCATGCAGAATAGGCTGATAACTGAAAATTGATATCTTTTTACCTTCTTTTGCGAAGAACTAGAGCATTAACCGCGATTAAGATAACTGCATAATGTATCGTTTCTCAAGGACAATGCAGCTGGCAAGTAATGCAGCAAGTCTCGATCCTTGATCGCGTTCTTTTCCTTAATTTCCAATGCGTAAATCATTGAGAAATATTCTGCAGATGAAAAACATGTTTTTACAAACAGGTTATTCATTCGCAATCGTCTATCTCGCGTTCTCTGTAAATCGATAGAGATCTTCGTTATTATCATCACAATTTGTCCCTCTAGAAGAATCAATTGTAAACTGCAGTAATAAGAAAAATACATTTCGTTCGGCAACGCAGATTATTAAATTAATTAAAAAAGTTCGTCGACATTACATTTATTTATTTTTAAATTTTACTTTTTTTTATTTTATTCAAAGATGTGTGTTACACAGTTTTTTTATTTTATTCAAAGATGTTACATGATTTTTTAAAATTTTATTTAAAGATGTGTGTTACACGTTTGAGAGATTTTAATAATTTTCCGCCTTTTTTCTTTACGCTTTCGTAGATTACGCTGTAGCGGTATTTCACGAGGGACTGTTAAACAAAAAATACGAGTGCTACTTGGAGCCTCACACGAGACTGCCGATGATATACATCGAAGACTGCCTGTCGGCGCTCTTTCAGTTTTTAAACACACCTGACAAATTACTGCGTAGACGAGTTTATAATGTCACAGCCATGAGTTTCACACCCGAGGAGTTGTTCAACGAACTCTTCAAGTACATACCGGATTTGAAAATTACTTATAAACCAGACAAACGACAGCACATCGGTACGTATGTAATATGTGCTTTGTATACTACCGTAATTTGTTTACGTAACAAAGATAACCGAATTTGAAATTTTGTTATTAAAAATAATTTTTTATTTTAGCGGAGAGCTGGCCGCAAGTTTTCGACGATAGCGAAGCACGACGGGATTGGGGATGGCAGCACAAATATGATCTACAGAGGCTGGTAGAGTTAATGGTGCATGACGTTAGCACAAATTTTCTACCGAAACATCGACTGAAAGAAGTCAGTAGCTACGTATAATTGCGTGAAAATTGTACGTAGCTATTGAGTCCCTTTAATTAATGTGTACGCTTTGTGAGCTTTCGCGAATTCACACTCGATTTCCCGCCGAAGTTTTTCGATTATAAAAAAAATCAATAATTAATTGTATAAAAATTATTACTTTTGAAGTCTTCCATACGTAAATTATAGAGGCCAAACAAAATATAACAGATGTTTTAGAAATCAGATAAAATCAGATAAAGAGGCAGCAATTTTCTTTTTATAAAGAGGCTTTTTAAACGTATCACAAATGAATTTTCTAAAATGGGTGGTAGAGAGCATCTTTGATATTTCAAATAGTATCTTAAAAAACAGTAACGTTTAAGTTGAATTCTATGTCAAAAATTAATCAAATTTTACTGAAAACATTTGCTTTTGCAAAAAATCATATAATCAAAAATTAGAGATCTTGCTATTCTGTGTATATAAGCAGTATTTATTAAGAAATTGACTTAATATGACAATTATTGATAAAAATATTGATAAATAGGATAAAAAAATATTTGGATGAATTTTGTGAATTAAATACAAAAAATATAAATATAGATTTACAATAAAAAGACAGAACGCTGTTCGCTAACTCATATCTGCCATGTCTACATCCATAAATTCTGTAAAATCGTCATCGTTCAACATTTCCGCGATGTTTACTGGTGTCATTTTATTCCTTTTTGGCGTTTGATAATCCATTTTTTTATCCATTCCCGAAGGTGTGCCGATCGTGTCTGCATTTCTTCTCGTAGGTGTAGCATATCTATCATTTCTCTTTGGCGTTCCAGCAAATTCTGTATTTTTAGGAGTAGGAAATTTTTCGTTTTTTCTTGCAGACAGGCTTCCAGGCGTACTTTGAGAGAATTTCTCTTTATTATCAATATCTGCAAATGAAATGTTAAAACAAAATTACACACATAATACAAATGCTGAAACGGTTTTTTTTTTAAATTTTCTTTCTTTTCTTACCTTTACTACCATCGTCTTCTCCTGTTAAAATTGCACGACTCTCAACGAAGTATGCATTTGGATGTAGAAGTGGTTTACTTGCTGGTTTGTTGTGCATAACTTCAAAATACTTGGCACATGCCAAATGATACTGTCCGTCCTTAGCTAAGTCCAATATTTCGGTCATATCTAAGATAAATTAATATAAGATTTGAATGTAAAAGAACGGATTTTTTAAAATAGTAATATTAACAAAATTAATGGTCTTACTAGAGGCGAATACGCCGCAACTAGTCAACTTTTGGTAAAGCGAATCGCGATCCATATGTCTGAACGGACATCCGTGGTATTCTCCAGGCCCGACAGAGCTAGATATAATTTTCTGACAACCGTATGGAGTGTAATTCGTTTGCCTTCCCTCTTTGCCGTAATAGTGCCTAATAGAGTATGCATATTTTTTTTCAAATGCAACCCCGTCTATCTTTTTCGAGAATGCATCTCTCCAAAAACGAAGAGCATCCTCTAAAGTCACACCTATACCTTTCAGGAATAACCCATACTGCATGCGTCCTGTGTTCTTTAAATGGCTGTTGGTATACAGAGCTTCGTGAAGTGTTCTCATACATAATGGATACGATGATTTTGATAACTAAAAATTTTTTAAAATTAGATTTTAAGTAGTATAAGCTTAAGAGAAAGAAAATATAGTTTATAGCTAAAATAATAATTGATTCATACGTCATTCAGTTTATCAATGGGTGTGGCTGTAGTTGACCATACGACACGCGCCATTCCAGAGAAGGCTGAAGGAAGACCTGTTAAGTATTTGGTCAATCTCTCGTCATCAGATATATTATCGTACAGAATTTTTGCACTCTACAAAATATAGAATATATTAAAATATGGAATATATAAAATATGGAATATAATCTAAATCTTTTTTTGAAATTAATAAAAGCTACGTTACCTCTAATCCTGCAAATAGATTTTCTCTAAAATAGGAGACAAACACAGAACTTAGATCCATATGGGTGATATATGCCATCCCTGCTTTGAGGTACACTTTACGTCCTTTGACCAAATCAATCACTTTCTCAAAAGGCACTTTATAAATATCAGCGATATCAATATTCGTAACTTTTCCAGATGACAAACTAAGCTCTTCTTTCAGCTCGAATTTTTCATCTTGCGAAATCTTAAAGAACATTAATGATATTAGATATATTTAACACATACAACTATATCGTAATCTCTTATCAAAGTAAAATGAAACGAACAGGCACACAATCCATGTTGTTAATATTCAACAGATGCTCAATGCCCTTCTTATCCAACGAGCTAAATCTCAATTTAAAGAATTCCACTTCCTGATTGACAAACCACTTGGCTTGCTCGACGTCGTGGCAATACACCAGTCTCAAGATAAAATGCGATGTGTGGTCTCTCCTCCTGGTCTGCGAATGCTCCTCTGACTGCGGATTGGATCCATCAGCGTACAAGAGATTCGCGTAGTACTTCAATCCGTCGGATTTCAGAGAATCGCAAAAGGCCTTCTTGCGTTCCTCCTGCGTTTTCAGATCGCCCCTGCAATTCGTTGTCTCCACCAGCCGTAACGCTGCAACAGAGTGGATTGCACGCGATTGCAGTATCAATGATTAAAATACAAGATGCACAGAGAGGGCTACCGCAGAAGGCTACCTTTCAGTCTGTCAAATCCCAGCTCTTGAAACTCCTCAAGCGACATTTCGCCCACCGGTGGCACATCGTACATCTGTATGTCGTGAGGGTAATCGTTGCCGACGACATCCGCGACGGCTGTGTAACGTCGACGTGCCTTGTATTCCATCCTCGGGCTTACGGCGATCTACTTCTGGCTGCACAGTGAAGATGAAGGTAAACACAAATTGAGCGCACGTGGTGAACGCTGAACGTTAGACCGCGTCTGTGCAAACAGTGGCATTTGATGTCTTCCTATCTTCGTATCGGCTACTTGCGAATAACGGGAGATATGAGGAAACAAGACACATAATTCTGTGGATGAAAGTCACTCTTATATGCGGTTCCACGCCATGAGGTTAGGATACCAGCCAACAGCTGATTCTTTCCCGCCTTTTCTCCCCGCCACGTGGCACGTGATTCAAACGTCATCCACAATGGACAGAGAAAATATTTGGAAAAAAGTTAACCAGTCATTTGATTATTTTTTTCTAAATCTTTTTATTCTTGAAAGAACTGTAGTTTATAATATTTTCAAATAGAACTTTTTTTAATATTTTTTTATCGACAGTGCCAAAAGTAAATCTTATTAATATACGCTAGATGGTGCCTCATAACACGTTAACGTTGCATATATTCAATCCATTTCTCTTTGATACACACATTTTTTATTTTTTATAATACTCTTTTCCGTAATCATTTTCCGTTCATTATGTAAACAAAATTTTTGTATAAATAATATTTATTATACGCTAACAAACTGTAATAATTACCGAACTGAAGTATGTGCATAATTAAAATCTTTCTTTCCCTTAATTAAATTATTTTACGACGGTATTTTAATTTTTTATGTATTAAAAATATTAATTATACTTGAAAAATATGTATTTTTCATTCTTTTTTCGATTTTTCAAATGCCAAAGATTTCAACTAAATTATTTCAGAAAGAATTTAATTCCAAAACCAAAAGTTGTGAGCAAATTCGACAAACATTGTTAAAATATTATTAAAAGATATTTTTTTCGTAAAAAAAATGATGCGATATAAACATGGCAGGAATAAATAGCAACAAAATACCTTTAAATAATTATATTAATATTATTAAATATTTCTCTTTTGTAATTTTAGAAAAACGAATATTTTTAATCTTTTTGCTAAAACAGTTGATTCGATTCTTCTCTCTTTCTCTCCCTGAAATAATGCAGAGATGCGTCAATTAAAATGGCATAGCCTCCCGTTCCCTCGTGTTTTCCGTGGCATTTTAAAATCAATTTAAACGTAAAGTTTGAAATGTAGCACAGCTAAGATGGACAGATCCAAAAACACACGCATGTCTCGCTTTATTTTGACGTGCTCCATCCGCCAACGAGTCTGCGCGCTGCAGGAGATTTCTGTTTGGCTTTTCCCGGCAGCGACGGATACACCTATTCCCGTCAGTCACGTGGTGAGCTTTCGCGGGTAAGGATCGTATTCCTTTGTCGGCCTTTTTTTTCCTCGGTGGTGTAAGAGAAACAGATAAAGAGAAAGAGAGAGAAGAAAGATTTGGATTCATCACTAATTCAAGGTGCATTTTCAAAATCGCCAGAGGTAAGTGTCACCGTCAAAATCTTCGTCGAAACTATCGCATTACTGCACGTGACTGAAAAATTTATGTACTTATTTATAGATAACAAAGATAAGAGTAGATAACAGAAAAACAATAGTTATACCATTTTCAATATTTTGACGGAGAAGAAATTGAATCAATCGAAATTTTGTCATTCAAATTTCTTTTAATTATCGATGTGTAATTGACACTTACAGAGCTGTAAATTCGATTATAAGACTCGTCATTTTTGACATATAAGTGCGTTATTAATTTCAAAAGCGAGAACGTACTGTGAAAGTAGAAATACGGTCGATATCGCGCAATATAGAGTTGTCTACATTTGGAATCTAATATCTACCTAGGAATGCAGTCTCAATGTCCGATGATACTTGGTTACTGTATTGAATAATGTAATATGCATCGATGCTTACCTGACGACGGCATTCTACCTCGTGCAACTTCTCGCGGATTGACATAGAAAATCTATAGGAAAGCGGAGTTGTCGCTATACTTTTCACTTCGATACGTGTTATTTTGGATTTTGAGAGCTCATTGTAATTTACGTTCTTCGAATTGTTGTTTTCTTCGCGGAAAATAGGGTTTTTATATAAATTTCACAGTTATTTAATTATTATTAAATATACCACGTGAGAATGTATATATATACATATATATATGCATATAATCTGTCATATCTTTTATCGTTATCGCAAGGAAAAAAAATTATAAACGTGATACGAAGCTTGTATAATGCAAAAATATTAAAGCAGGCATGTCTTATTTATTAAATGTTTTATCTTCCAAAAGTTTAATCTCGTAATTAAACGTACATTCATCACCTAAAAGGTTGCGGCAATACTTTTTATTTTGATGGATTTTGGAATGCAGTTTTGCTTGTGGAGCGATTGAACGTAGTTGGTTAAATCCATTGGTAGAAATCAATCGCTCGGTGAACAGACTGTTCCGAAAATGAAAAAAAGTGTTGCAACTTTTTAGTTGATGAGTGTACAGTTGGAATTTTAAGAACGTCGATTGTGCGTAATTTTTAGTGAGAAATTCTCGAAAGTCATGTTTAACCGAAAAACAAATAAAAGCTCGCGAATCAAGCAAAAATTAATATTATGTTCTAACTCATTAAATATATACAAACTGTGTATATACTATATATATATATATATATTTTGTGTATGTGTGTGTGTGTGTGTGTGTACACGTATAAGTGAGCGATTTGCATTTGTTTTCGAGTGAGTTTTGCAAATCCGTTTGAAGATGGAAGATCATTTCTCAATTAGAAGTTTTCGAACGCACGTACCAGGAGATTGATAGACGATTTCCGGAAATAGAATGCGATTTACTTCTCTTAGAGATGCATCTGAGCTCACGATATCTCGGGACGGCGATGGTTTATCTAGAAAGATGAAATTTTAAAGAGTCGGAAATCTTTCTCCCTTCACCCTTCTCTCATAATCATGAAGTAACTAGCCAACTGTTATGCGTTACTTGAAATAACGACTTCGTTTCGCCACAAACTTTGCCACAAACTTCATTTAAAAAAAAAAAAATATTTAAAGAAATATTTCTTGCGTTTAACACTTAAAAATTGTAAATTTACGAGTATATGTATACTACCATGTCTTATTATTTGTTTTATCATATATTAGAATGTAATAATATTTATAGCGTGCTATATTTTTACGTTTTACATAAATTATGGATTTAATCCATGATGCCACCCATAATATTAATATACGGCATGCTGTTTAATCCCTTGTTAAAATGATTAATTGATCAATATTAATTGGACGGAAAATTTACGGTAATAAATAACGGCACGGAAGTTTGTAAAACATTAAAATGTACCGACGATGTCACGCAGACGTTAATCAATTAGATTAATCGGGAAGTTTTGTTCACGGCGCAACTACAATTCGCGTGATGCATAGTACATTTATATGACTCATTACTTTTCATAACATATAATTCATATCTAACGAACGATACGCAGAACACGCAGTTACAAAATGGAATTTTTTTTGAGTTTGTGAAATAGAACGAAGCAATTTTGGTTTCTCAATTTTTACGTCGACAGGATATTTGCAGAGCGAGGGAGGGAAGTAAACAAATGTGTTCCTAGTGTAATCCCTGGATATTACGGCGGCGATAAAAACTTCGTTTTCTATCGAAACACAAAATCGCTTTTTTAAAGCGGGTCAGATAACATCGACTTGAACACGAGCGGAAAGAATTAAGCAAATGAAAATTTCTCCTTTGTGTATCTACCTGCATGTTTCTCCAAGTTTCCGTCATGCGATGTATTTACTGGTATTCGATCAAAGAGTAAATTTCTAACTTTTCCTCTTTTATTTATGTGTGCCCGTAAACCTCTGAGTTTTCCAATTCCTATATTTGTAATTATAGAGTACTCTTGTATCGAATCGGTAAAATTACTAAGAGATTGAAATAATTTGTTACACCTAATGTCATATAATTACTCAAGTTAGGAAACATTAAACGTAATTCGTTGTATAAAATTGATATTTTCTTCCTATAATAGAAACGTTAGAGACAATCATTATTCATAGGTATATGAAGCAATTTTACAACTTGAGAGCTAATTCAAGTTTAGATACCATCAGAGTTAGATTATATAATAGTTTCAAATTTTGAGCAAATAATTCTGTCTATAAACCGCTGACGCGAGCGAAAGATATTTCGATGCATCGTTGATGAAAGCACCTGATGAAGCATCGCCGATGTGGGTGGACAGGATATTCGATGCGCGCGATCCTTTGTGGTGATTCTGATCCTCGATTGAGATTAACGAACCTGACCGGTGAAACCCTAAGGGTCTTATGACCCATCGATTGCCCCAAATTCCCACACATGAACATTCGAAGGGATGAATCTCTCTCGGGAGCGTGAAAGCTACAAAGGGAAATTACAATAAGTACTAAAAAATTGAATGAGAGAATACATATTTTTTTGTGCTACACATTGTTTCGAGAGAATATAAATATGTGGTAGATATACGCGGCCTCGGTATATATTTTTAATATACCGAGGCTTGGAGGGCGAAAGAAACAAAGTCAATATTTCGTGTAATCGTGACATTAGATGAATTTTTCCCTTGTCTCTTTCGCGTGACCGTTCACGGGTGAAATGTACCTATATATCCACTTCATGTGATATCACATCACTTTGATACCGAAGTCCCTTTGTGAGATCTGAGTCGTTGCTAATAACTTTAAAGCGCGGCGTTCGTCGGGGGAAAAGAAAATTCACCAGCGTGAAACTTCGCGACGCACGCGGAACTTCACCGGTCGCCAGGCGAAGAGATATTGAACTCTGTATAATCTCATAAAAAATGAACTCGAACCGCAATTTCGCGGAACAGTCACAGCGCCGGTCACTTTCGATCAGCCGTCGAGGGAGACAATGTTATGAGCCCGGCTACTATGACCAATGACGTAGAAACGTTCGATTTTTTCCGGGAAAAATAAGGGCGTTTCAGGCAAGGGTTGAGTTCGATCTTACTTCAGTGAATTCAGATTTCGATACCGCAAACTCCGCTATTTAATCGATATGGGTACTGATAAAAATGCAAATATTGGAGTAAAATGTACGTTTACATTTTCCTTATATCGAGAATGGAAAATTATGATAATTTTTTTTAAGTGGCTTTGTATCGCAACTAATTTTCCGCGTATTTTATCATAATTATAGGTATTTTGAAATTGCAGTAATAATTTTCTCAAGGTCTTGGTATCGTCAGAAATTAATTTCTGCCGATATCTGTCGACGATTATGCCAATGAAATTGTACGGAAATTAAATTGCATTGAAAAGCAGGCAATTTATGCCGAGAAAAAATCATTGTAAATTGTAGGTTTTTGAAGCCGTCGTGATATTGAATACTACTGGTCCTTATTATATTTCATTTTGGTATTTCCATCTAATTTATACGTATATTGTAACGAGTATAAAAATAATTATTTATAAAAGTTATTCATAAAACCTTTAGTTTATAAATATTTTTGAACAATAATTTTTTTAATCTGCTTCTATCTGAAAAATCTATTCATTGCAGTTCGCTATTGATCAAACTGTATATGTTACCGTCAAAATCCATAATCTGTTAAAACCCGAATTCATTAGTTAAAATTAGAATGATTAAACATAAAATCGAAAACCTGTGTTTAGACAGTACAATTATAGACCTCGTTTATAGACCGGACTCCTCTTCCTCACCCCCCTCCTACAACCCCCCTGTTGAATCTCGCTACGCATGGAAAGTCAAAAACTCATGTGAAACAGTACAATTATAGACCTCGTTTCAATTAAATTTAAAATTAATTTTAACTATATATAGTAAAATCGGGTTTTAACGATTATGACGGTAACATATATACGTTTATATTTTTATTGTACCAAAAATTGAAAATTATGAGAAGAAGAATAAATTTAATTAAGATTCTTATGTATAAAATATAAATTTTAATTAAAGACAATTTTATTGTATATTGAATTCATGTACCATTAACTGCGCTTGACTCTCGTATAGTCTTTATACAGTCCTATTAATGATTTGAATTTCTATGGAAATTATGAGAATTTCTTCAAGTGGTTTCGTATCGCAGCTAATTTTCCGCGTATTTTCCTCGTCATATAATTATTATATAGATAGATTCTGATATAAGTTTTCTCAGGTTCTACTTCAATGTCGACAGAAATAAATTTCTTCCAATTTCTTCGGCGATTACGTCGGTGAAATTGTTCGGAAATTAAATTGCATTTAAAAGTCGGCAGTTTATGCCGAGAAAGAAACCTCGATGAATTAAAGACTTTTAAAATTGTCGTGATATTGAATACTGATCTTAAATATATTTTACTCTTGTTATTTCCGTCTAATTTAATCGAAAATTGAAAACGAGTATAAAAATAGAAATAACTACTTATAAACAGTTTAAAGTATTTTTGGGCAACAATTTTTTAACCTGTCT